ATCAAAGCCCACGCATATCAAAATATTGACTCAGAAATTTTCAAATTAAATATTATAAATCTTTCAGAGTAATTAATGATTCTCTAGTTATTAATTTGTAAAGAAAAAAATTGTTTAAGTTCAAAGTTTAATAATTTTTATTTGATTAAAGTCAAAAAATAAAAATTGAGCATGAATTTTTAATAAAAAAACAATTATTATAATTAATTCTATGTTAATAAATAAATACTGCAATAAACAAAGATTCGAAAATGAAATTTTCCTTTTTCTCCTAATTTAAAAATAAAATATTTATGCAAACTATTGTCATTAATTACTAAGTATTTCCGGCTAGAATAAATTCACCAAAAGTTTCTTAAATTTCACAATTCTTGATCCGGAAACTTAATAAATATTTGTAAGTGTACTAATTAAACGCTCATAGCCACTAATTTAAAAAAACTTTCATTTTTAATTGGTCAATTAAAAAATTATCCGGGTAATTAACTAGAATTAAAAATATCTAGCTAGTAATCAGGATTAGTGACATCAAACTCTTAAATTTATTTATAAATTATGATAATCATTGATATTAATTAAATTAAAGTTAAAAATAAGTAAAATGCAGTAGGATAGGTTAGTAAACTCATTATTACGTATCGATATGACCATAAAAGCTGTAACCGGTAACCGGTTTGCTCGGTTGAATCTCTAGTCCGCGTGTTTGAGTTCTTACTAAGATTTGCCGGTCGATCGGTCAATTGTCGATCAATGCTAACGAAACGTAAGGGGGTCAGTTTTAACCGGTAATATCGAGTACTTATATTGACATTATATTATATACGCTCGAGACAATCGCGCGAGTGAGATACTTGTGCAGAAATGATGCATACTTGTTATATTGTGCATTAAATGTTCAACACAAGTTCATTGATATAAATGGAGCTCCAGTAAATAAAAGACAGCGTCTAAACTCGAGCCCCCCAACCGGGATTACAATCGTTTAAATGATCTCTGCTCTCTTAAATTGTCCCAGCTTTTTATTTTATTTGTCGCTGATGCATCGCGGTCTACATATTTTTTTTTTTAACTTGATTGATCCTGATTTAATCATTAAATTTCTTGATAATCACTAGGAATTTTTCTTCTTACAGTAAAAAATTTTATTAAAGTTAGCCAACGTTTTCAATTTTTTGATTTTTTGTCAATAATTAAATTAGAACAAAAAAATATTTTATAAAAATTGCACTTTCAGTTTTTCAAGTTTTTTACACATGAAATTTTTTTTTTTTTTTTTTTTTGTATAATAAGTTTTTCAATAGAAAAAAAAAACTTTTTAAAATTTTTAAATTTAGGCTAACTTAATTTTCATAAAAATTTTTTTACACAGAAAGCAATTTTTTTTCTACAGTAAAATAATAAAAAATTGATTTTAGATTTTTAGAAAATAAAATATTATTATTTCCACGAAACTTTGTGACAAATTCACTATTTATGGAAAATTTTAATTGATAACAACACGCGATGAGTTTCCAGTTGACTTTACTTGTAAAAATGACGTAATATAAGTAGAGTTGAGATTTTAACTGATAACAATAGCGATGATTTGAATCTACTGTATTTTTTTTTTTTTTTAGCTAGATCTTATTGAAAGATAATAAAAAAATTATCAATAATAATTGATAATAAAAGTAAATTTTTAGCGCGTTGATGAATTAACGATTATTCGGTTGTTGTCCAGCTGAAGCCAATCAATTGGGTTAATTATTTCTTCGAGACTATAAACGTACTTACAATAACCGGAAAATGATGCCGTTTATATCACGATGTACACATTTATAAATAGCCACGCCTCTGGATTGTAAAAACTGTCACGCTATTATTGCAGTACTCGGAAATAATTAAGCCGGAAAAATAATCAACGGGTCTTTTATTCTCCTATGGCTAAAATAATCGGTTAGTTATAATTATTTATTTATCCAAATTTGTATCGTCTATAGATACATAATTATTTTTAATCTCTATTTCAGTAAATAACCAATTGACCTATTTATCATCCCCTTACTATTTATTGAGCTCGATTATTAGATCATTAAATTACCTAAATTGTTCCCCGGGGTTCGGCAGTCCCGATAAAAAAAGAAAATTACTATTGATTATATAATTAAGTTTTTTTTAATAAAAAAAAATAATCAATTTAATCAAAAAATTGAGAATAAATCACGGGAAAAATATTATAAGAAATAAAAATATCAAATGTATATATTAGATAAGGATTTATACGTAATTAGATTAATCAAGCGAGCGGGTAATACATAATAAACATAAACAATATGTATTGATAATGATAATGATATTAATTAGGTGTAATGTAATAGTGTTTACTGACTCACGATGATTGTATAAGTGACCTTTCGACCGAGTAGTTGTCAAAGCAAGTGATTTTTCACGGTGAAAGAAAACTTGTTTTTGTTTTTGTTTATTATTATTATCTACTTGTATTTTGCTTTCTCGTATCATTATAATTATATACTTTTTAAAAAATAAACAAAAATATCCACTTGTAATTATGTCAACAAACAATTTACAGATAAATTAACCGCAAGATTTTTAATTACGCGTATCTTTTAATAAAGTTAATTAAATTGATTGTTTTAAATTTAAATAATTTTTATTTATTATCTATATTATTAAGAGAATAAGATTATGTGTTCAGGATAGTCATATGATAAAATAGCTTTTTTTAGTGAAATCTAGTGTCATTGTACATAATTAAGAAATGACCTTGTATTTTGAGAACTATTGACATTTTCAAAGATATAAGCTCACCCTGACATTACACTCATCGAGACCTTTCATTTTTGAGTACCCACATCAATTTTTCATATATTTTATATATTTATATATTTCACAAATACTACTATATATATAAAATATATAAAAAATGCCATGTGGGTACTCAAATGAAAGGTCTCGATGAGTGTAACATTGAAATGAATTTGTATCTTAAAAAATGTCAATAATTAAGAAATGACATTGTATCTTGTCAACTAATAATATTTTTTAAGATATAAGCTAACCCCGACATTACACTCATTGATACCTTTCATTTGAGTACCCATATCAATTTTTCATATATTTTATATATTTATATATATGTATATATGAACAATATATGAAAATGCATGTGGGTACTCAAATGAAAGCTCTTGATGAGTGTAACATCGGGATGAGCTTACATCTTTAAAAACGTCAATATTTAAGAAAGTACAGTGTAATTTAACAAAATTCATTATTTAATAAAGCAAAATTTTATTCATTTATAGTCCACAACTCAGGACAGTCACATAGCAACTGCAACGTTGATTATTATTTTATCTTCAGATCGCAGAGAGTTAATAGAACTATTTATACCCTCGGCAAATATATTTAGATATCGAGATAGCGAATTAACCGCTAATTAAAATCGATTTTGATTGCTTTCCCCCGGTAATTTAAATAGCGGTTACCCGATCGATTTATATTTATTGACACTTGAAATAAAGAAAATAAAAACGTGATTGTCTGCCGAGGAATGACTTTTGAATTTTAAAAATCAATTATCAAACTTTTTAGTCATGCTTTTTATTTATTAATATTGAAAAGTTATTGACAATTGATGATTAACATAAAAAAGTCCCACGAGCAAGACAAAAAGGTGGTTAAAGTGTCACTGAAAAATTAAAAAAATTGGATTTATTTATTTGGACTTTTTATTTGATATTTATTTTAATCAAAGTTAGATTTCCGTCTTGAGAATTACGACACTTGGGAAAAATAAAACTAAAATTATTTAATTATATTATTTATTCCCATAATCTCACTAAATAATAATGAGTATTGTAGAAATTTAGAGAAAGTAGTTACATGTAAAAAAAGTAATCACTTTCGAATTACTTTATATAATTTAGATTCCGAAATGTCATTAAATAATTTTATGCTAGTAAAAAAATGATCAAAAAATAAGTTTTTTTTCTAATCACGTTCTCAAGTCACTGGAAAATCCTACCCAAGAATAATTCTCTCGCATGCCAGTACAAAGTGATTTACATACTCCCGCAAAAAGATAAATAAAACTACGCTAAGCGATGTAGTTTTATTTCCTTAAAATTTTCTATTTCGACCAAAGATAGAAATAGAACTGGAAATAACAATGACTGGCAGCAGAGATAATTAAAAGTAATTTATGAAGATCTACAAATAATTTTCAGGTTTGTTAATAAAATAAAATAAAACAAAATACACATTGTTTAATAAATAATAACAGATGCAAATTCGCATGCATAACACTCTATGAATTTACGATAATCGTAAACCCGCGAAAACACAATGCAATAACAATCAAGGTTTTCACGTGCGTCGGAAAATTTTATAGACCGTGCAAACATCTGATTAAATACGTAACCGAGCTAACAAAAACAACTTTATTACAAATGGAGCTACTTTTAATTGTTTTATTTAAATATTTTTAGAATACTTGAATATTTAATCTGAATAAATTTATTTTGGAAATTAAATCCGGGAATCGCGTGTTACTAAGCCGAGCTGATTAATTCTAGTTTAAAAATTCACGAAGTCGTTGACCCACCCAGGTAACCGGAATAAAAATACATAGATTGTTTCAAAAATTATAAGATCTTTATTATTAATTATTTTCTTTTCTTAAAATTATTTTTTGTTATTACTTCAAATTTATAATTAATATTAACTTTGTTAAAAATTACTCTTAACAATAAAAGTCTCATGACTTACAATATTTTGTATACAATTATACTTTTTAGTAATAATAATAATATTTAGCTTAATTATAAAAATAGTATAAAATTAATCAATTAACCAAAATTGATTGTATTAATTAATTAACCTTACACTAAACGTTATTAGAATTTAATGCAAGAGATACTGATTAAGAAACCTAATAAATAAATTCCATTTTATGTATAAAAAAAAATATATATAATATTTAATATATTAATTGTGTATTAATGATCAGATAAAAAATTATTATTAGAATTATTGTGTGCAATAGTTTTCCGGAATTCCCGTAACTCAGCTAAGAGCAGCTCCCGCTGGCTACGATCGTGCTGTCTTTGGATCTCGAATTGTCGCTCCATCCACCTGTGGTGCTGCTCCTGGAGCTTCTCTTCGTGCTTCAGAATCTGCTGGACCACCGACTGCATGAATGCAGCGGTCAGCGAGCCTTCGCGGACCTGGGGCTCCGTTTGTGAGGGAGTTTCGTTGTTCTGCACCACTTCTGTCTTGATGCGCATCTGCTGGACCGGTTTGTACTCCATCGAATTGTAGTTCCCTATCATATTAGCTGTCTCGTCCTTGGTTAACACAATACCGGACTCGTGCTCCAGAATGATATCAGGGTTAACTATTTTTTCTTGGTTTAAAGAATCACTCACATCATTGGTCGCTTCAACTTCTTCGTCGGAATTAATTGCTTCTTTCTTAATATTGGAGATAATTTTCGGGACATCGTCAGTTGGTCGGCTCTCTCCGATCTTGTTGTTAACAAATTGCACTAGTGATACTTCAGAGTCCATCCCTGTTAATATCGACGAGTTTAACTCGCAGTTGTCCATTATTTCAATGTTTTCATGCTCCATTATTCCGTCGTCCAGGTAATTTTGCTGCTCTTGCTGGTCGTGTTCCTGGTCTAAGACTTCGTCAGTCTGCTCAATTGCTGAAGACTCGAATTGATCGTCTATTCTCATATTAACATCATTTTCTGCATTTAAAAAAAAAATATTATTATTAATATTTATATTTCAAATATAATAATTTGGTAAATATTTACAAGTGTTTCAAACATTTTAATTTTCATTTTTTTGAATGAAATTTTATTAATACATTTTTTTTTTGAAAAATACATAAAAAAATTAACAATTAAAAAAAAAAAGTTGATTATCACAATTTTAACAAATTTTTTAGAAAATTGTGATACTCAACTTTTTTTTTTTAAATGTTTGTTTTTTTATGTACTTTAAAAAAAATATATCAAAAAAAGATAAAATATAAATTTTTCCAACTTTTGAAGGCAAAAAAGTTATTTTTTATCATAAATCCTGTAAAAATAAACAGAATAAAAAAAAATAAAAAAATGTCAATTTTTCATCTAGATATTGCCCAATAAGAAGTCGAGCCGACTTGTAAATAATTCCCAATATTTTTTTTAAAGGCTAACCACAAAAAAACGAAACTTACCAACAATAGACTCAACCGGCGACCAAAGAACATCCTGACCAGGTTTCTTGAACTTCCTGTCCGCATCATTATCATCATCATTATCAATATGCGCTGAATTGTAACTATGATCCCCAGACTCAGACTCTTTATCATTAATAAATCCATTTGTATCATCACTGTCAATCCTCCTTGAAACAGGCTCTGGCGGCGCCAAGGCATCATCATCATCCGGATATTTTTTATGCTGTTCATACAGCCTATCAAGGTACTCAAAGTACGGACACTCCCTGATGGCGTCCGGCGTGCAGCCTTGAGCAATACATCTCAAGTAAGCAGTTCTCATGTTTTTTATTTTGCTGATAATCTGCTGCGTCGATCTGGTGTACCCAGCTCTAGCCAGTGGCTCAATTAATTTACTAGCGTTGCTCAGCGAGACTTTAGTCTTCAAGGGTGTTCTCAATTTCAATTCAAAAATCGAATTGTACATCGTGACTATTTCTTCCTCCGTCCAAAGGACTATTCTCTTCATAGTTACCGGCGTTTGTACATGATTATTCCTACTACGATTATTAACATTAACATTATTATGCCTATTATTAGTATAATTACTGCTATTATCACTAACATCACTAGTATGATGATTGTTATTATTATTACTATTATAAACAGATTCATCTTCTAAAACCTCAAGAGTATCATCGACTCTATCATCCCCATTGCTCAGTTTATCATTGCCATTACTAATAATATGCTCCTCAATCCCATTAATATAAACATTATCCTGATCAATTTCGTCCTCGCAGAGGTCAACAACAATCGCAGAACTTCCATCAGCAGTCAAGTACTCCTCATCCTCCACCTCCTCCTCCTCCTCATCAATACTTTCAATGCTCTCAACAGGGTAATTATTGTCACTCAACAAATAATTATTATCAACATTATAACTGGTATGATCCAGCGTGTAATTATTATCATCATTCAAGCTGTAATTATTCCCGTCCAAATTAAAATTGTTATCATCCAGAGCAAAATTATTTTCCTCGTGCTCCAGCCCATTTTTTAAATCAATAACATTAGAGCCGTGATGACGACTGTGAATTTCCTTCCCAACAATTACATCATTAATCGCATCGTCAATCGAAGGCAGTCTTTCGACTTCGCATTTTTTGGTATTCTCCCGGTGGAGCTTCTCTCCGCCCCAGAATTTCTCCAGGTACTCGTAGAAGGGACAGGTAAGAGCCTCGATGCTGCCCGCTTCCAGAGACTCGCGGCTCTTTATGTAGGCCTTCTTGAGATTCGTCAGAGCCACTTTGACCTGGTTGGCCGACCTTTTGATCCCCGAGACCTCCAGCGCGTTGCTAATCAGCTTGAGCGCGGAGTTTGCGAACCCCTTTAGCGACAAATCATTGGAGAGACACATGTCATCGATTATCGTGAGCATAGTTTGGATCTCCTGGTCGATCCAAATGTTTGTGTTGTTTGTAATTGCATTTATACTGAGCGGCTCCTCGAAGGGCTCCACGTGGTGCGGCTCTTGCTTGACGAACATCGCGTCCTCACCCGCGTAAATTTTGTCCAGCAAACTGTAGTAAGGACACTCCTTCATAGCACGTGGCGTGCAATTTTTTTTCTTGCATTTCTGGTAGCTCAGACGCAGCGAGCGGAGTTTAAGTCTTATCTGGACCGCTGTCCGCTCGAATCCTTTGCTCAGCAGCGGTTTCACCAGTGCGTGACTCAGCTGGCCACTTGTGCTTGACTTTTCCAACAGATTATTTTTTATAATAATATTTAGCAACGCTTCTGTTTCTGTTTTAGTCCACACTGGCCCGCGGTATCTCATTGTGATTATTATTATTATTATTAAGATTGTTTTTTATCACTCTACTAAGTCACTTTATCAATGTTTATGATAATAATAACCTCAAAAGTCAATCTGCAATGGCAATTAATTTAACGTTAGTTTCTATACACTGTTTTTATTTATATATTTTTAATTATTTTTGTAAATATTAAATGTACTTACCTGAGAAAAATTACTGTAGACGGATTTTTGCTTTATTTTATTATTATTTCAATGATAATTACATTCAATAATAATAATTCAGACATTATTGTAGAAAACAAGTGATGGCGAACGTTAGAATGCGTGAGTGTCGCTACGTATGTACTTGTGTTAGTAATAACGGTAAGTAAAGATGTCGCAAATGGTAACAAAAAAAAATTTTTTATTTATTCAGTTATTTAAATAATTATTGCATAAATTTATAATTATAAATCACTGACATTTTTTTTTATAATTTATTATTGTTATTTTTTCTTGAAAAAAAAAATGTGTCATTTTTTTTTTAAATATTATTTTGTTTATTTTTAATTGTTTTGTTTACTTTATTGTTTGCTGTTATTTAATCGATTGTTTGTGATTTTTTTTTTTTATACCAACAATAAAATTACTAAATTACCGATAAGTAATTAAAAGACTCGATCGTAAGTACTAAAGAGAATCTATTTAATTTAAGTACCGCCATCTTGTGTAATTATTTAGAAACTCCGCGCATGCCGGTTTATTAAATATGTAAAAAGAATATGTTATATATTTTTTCGTAACCTAGATCGTGAAAAATACGTCTAAGCCGAGTGTGTGTCTTTATCTAGTTTAAAAGGAGTAGAAAAATAAATCCTAGTGGATAATTGTTGTGTTGATATTAATTTAAGTTGATAAATAATTAAAGATATATTATTTTAAAAATGGATACTGAAAATGAGCAAGAAACTGTTAATGAAGTGGATTATTACACTTTTTTAAATGTATCCAGAAATGTAAGCTGACAATAATTATTTATTGACCCTATAATATTTGGACTACACGTGACTTTTTTCAGCTGACGTAATGAAAATTATTTATTACTTTTATTTATTTATTAATGTTAATTTTTTGGAGTATTGTTGATTTATTTACGTTGTAAATCACTGATCGTGTCGCCAGAATGTGCAAATAGATGACCTTGAATATTTGCAAATAATAATAATGAATGTTTTGATTTATTTATAATTTTTTTTTGTTTGTTAGGCAACTCCTGAAGAAATTCAGCAAGCGTACAGAAGACAAAGTAGACTTTACCATCCAGATAAACATGTGGATCCAATTTTGAAAAAAAAAGCCGAAGTTTTATTTAGTCGCACTAATAAAGCATATGAAGGTAATTTTATTTAATTAATATTTTATTTTTTGATAAAGTAAGCTGACGTTTGACAATTATTGTATTTTTTTCAACAATTAAATTGCAAGTAAATAAATTCTTTAAAAAAATTCCAATTTTTTTAATTTTCTACGTGTGAAATTTTTCCTTTTAATTTTTTTGTAATAATTTTTTCAATAAAAAAATTTTTTTAATTAATTTTCTTGACCTAGTTTATTTAAAAAAAAAAATCTAACTATCTTTTTAATTTTTATTACAGTCAAATTATAATAAAAAAAATTAAGTAAAAAATTCTCAGTTTAGAAGCTTTAAAAAAAATTATACAAGTGCGAATTTTTATTATTATTATTCTTTTTTTTTTTCAAATAATTGATTGGTTATAAAAATTGAAAAAATTGTCAGATGTCTGCTAATTTTAATATATTTAAAAATATATATAGTTTTTTTGTAATATACTTGTATGCTTTTATTTAAGTATTCACTTGATTGAACTTCAATCAGTTTAATTATTTCAATGATTTAAAAGATTAAAAAAAAAAAAGTAAATACAATTTTTTAATCTATTTAAAATTGTAGTTTTAAGTGATCCACACCAAAGAGCAATCTACGACTCTCTAGGGGTCCGCGGATTAGAAACCCAAGGATGGGAAATAGTCCAACGCACAAAAACACCCCAAGAAATTAGAGAAGAGTATGAGCGCATCGCTAAAGAACGGGAAGAAAGACGACTAGAGCAGCGGACAAACCCTAAGGGTAACGTTACTGTCTTTATAAACGCCACAGATATTTTTAATAAGTATGACGAAGACTATGAAATCAAGTAAGTTCATCCTAAAGATATATACATTGAATTAAAGAAGAAAAATAAATTTTTTTAACTATTTTCAGTGATGGAATATTGGGAGGCATCGAAGTCAGCGGCATGTCATTCCAGCAGTCGATTGAAGCCCCCCTGACACTAAAAGACACTTTGACCCTCTACGGACAAGTGGATGCTGAAAATGGTACCGGGGTAGGATCGATAAATGTCGCTGCCAGAAGAACTCTGTCATCTAAAAGCTGGATGGAGTTTGATGTTGGAGCCGGAAATGGTCCTGTCGCGACTGTCAAATTCTATCGTTCTCTTACACGTCGATTATTTTGTACCGGCGCGACTATCTTGCAATTCAAACAAGATGAAATAAGATCCGGATTAGTTGGATGTATGATTAATTTTAATCACAAGTACTTTAATTGATTTTAAATATTTTATTAAATTTTTTTTTTTTTAATTACTCAAAGCTCTAGGACTGCAGTTGGATAAACAAAGCGTAGGATACTTAACATTTAAATGCGGAATTCAAAATTCAATGTCTACAATGTTTGTTCGTGACACGCCAGAATCTTACACCGCTTTTACTTTACAATTTGGGTATTTAAATACGTTTGCCAGCATTAGTTATACTTATAAAATGGAAGAGAAAAAAATGAAGCTACGAGGAACGTTAAAGTATGTCCAGAAATAATTGTTTTTAATAATTTAATATAAATTTTTTGATAAGTATTGACATTAATTGATAATTAATTGAAATAGAGCTGGTACTCTCGGAGCTTACGTCGAATACGGTGCTGAGAAAAAAGTATCAAAACACAGCGCCTTGTCGGCGTCAGTCCGAGTCGGAGTGCCCAGTGGAGTCACGCTGAGAATAAAATTAATCCGCGCCACGCAAACTTATGTATTCCCGATTCACCTCTGCGAGGAAGTGTTGCCCTCGCCGATATTTTACGCCACCGTGGCGCCGCTTATCACGTGGACTATTGTAAAGAAAATAATCGTCGAGCCGATGATGAAGGAGCAGAAGGACCGCGAGAAGGAAAAGCAGAAGGAGTTGAACCGCGTTTGGACGCTGCAGAAGCAGAGAGAAGCCAAAGCCGCGGTGGAACTCATGATGGCTACTTTTAGCAGGATCAGAGCCGACGAAGAGGCTAAACACGGGCTAGTCATCACCAAGGCGCTTTACGGAAGGTTCGTTTTTTCTAACAGGCGCAATATTCCTCAGGAAATTCTTGATGAGGCCAGGGATGATGTTATTGATGTCACTATTCCTTTGCAATGTTTAGTTGTTAACTCGCGCTTAGTTCTTCATGAAGCTTCCAAGGTTTTTATTAATTAATTATTTATTTATTTTTTTTAAGTTTGGTAATTAATTTTTAATACTCATTATTTTTTTTCAATTTCAGAGTGAATTACCTGGATTTTACGACCCGTGTTTTGGAGAAGACAAACAATTACTATTACAATATTTATTTCACAAACAAACTCATGAGTGTCTTGTTAAAGATAATGAGCCTCTAAGAATACCTCTACAATGTAAGTGTAACTAAAGTTGTGATATTTAGTCTCGGGAATATTTTGTCGGAGGATCAAGAATCCTGATACCAATTTGATGGCTAAATAATTGATTAATTTATTTTTAGCTCACCGAGTAAATACTACTTGACGAAAAAAACGAATGTCAAGAGTAAAACCAAGAGGATAATCTTGCACGCTCAATTTGTTTCCAGTACTCTCCTGATTTTCATTTTATATTATATATGATACATAATATTGTTTGTGTTCAGTCAAATTTATTATAAAATTACTTGACAATTTCACGATTTTTTATTTCAATCAATCTGATTAATTACTGGATTAATTTTTCAATGTATTGATTCATTTTTTATCTCATGTCACTTATATTGTTTGGTTGGAGACGAGATTGTATTTTTCAGATGAAAATATCTAATAGTATATGGTATTAGATTGTATAGAACTTAATAAACACTTTAGTGATTAACTTTTAACTAGTTAGGTGTTCCAGCTAAACTTCCATGTTTAATATATTAGCAGAGCTTCAGGTAAAATGAGTAATTATAAAAAATTTATTATCAAATTTAATAGCACTTGTTAATTGTCAAAAATATGTGTTATATTTTTAGACATAAATTAGAGTCCTAATTAAGAATTTATAAATATATAAAATAATAATAATAAATATATAAAATGTTTGATTTTTTAATTTATGACAAGCATATTAAAATATTTAAAGATGTTTAATTAATTTATTAACAAATTAGCTATTTGTATTAGTAATCGATGCTCATTACTTCAAGAGAATTTAATGGCAGTGTTTGATTTTTAAATAAAAATTTATCAAATACATTCAATTCAGCATCCTTAGCTTTTATTTGAGACACTGGCGTCCAAGATTGATCATGTTCTAGTCTGTATGAACCTTTATAGACTTGCAATGGTGCTCCGTCGCCCCATTCCTGAAATAAAATTAAAATAAGTAAATAATTACAATACACTGAGAAAAAAAAAAACACTTTTACTCAATTAACAATGTCTTGATTCAAGAATAATAAAAGTATTTTTTTTTCGCAGTGTATAATAATTAAAATAAAAATAAATTTATTAGCCAGACCTCAGGACTCAGCATTGAAAAATAAAATTGTCCTGATGGTTTTTCGTACAAGTGATAAATATTTCCTGGGTGCTTTACAAAATTACAAGCAGCGTGGTGTAACATATCATTTTCTTTAGCTTCAATTAATACTTTCTGAGCTTGATTTTTTAAAAATCTCATTTGTTCAGCAATTACATGTAATTTATTTTTCGCATTTGCTTTCACGAAATTGTCTGCCTAAATTAAAAAAACAAAATAATTAATTGTTCTTAATATTATTTTTATTACAACAATTACTTTCTCAATTTCCATTGCCAGCGCAATTAAATCTTGCGGTGATGATTTTGTCGCTGCATATCTATTGACTAAATTTACTCCAGTTGAAGATTCAACGAGCATCACTGTTACAAAAAAATTGTTTAAATAATTATTCCACAAATATAAACATTAAATAATAAATAACAATACTTACCTTTACTCGGTGTGAGATAAGAATCACTTACTTCCATATTATTTATTCTCTTCATTGTTAACTAATTATTTTGATCTTAAATGAAGCACTTAACTACGTGATAATTATTATTGTATATTGCACAATTAGTATCAAGTAAACATACAACACATGTGATAAAATCTTAAAGATTTATTTTTATTTAAGCACGCGTTTCGTCATAATCATAAACAAGAATTAGTAAATACTTCAGCTAGCCTCAGAGTTTTACTCGGACTCACTTCGGAAAGTACTTACAGCGTAATCAACAAAATGGCTGCCGTTATGGCGCGAACCGCAGTGTACTTATTTTTCACGGAAAATATTATTTTTAATTATTTAAAAATTAATCAAGTTATAAAACAATAAATAAAAAAAAACATTAATTATTCACTCACCCTTCTATGAAATGTCTAAAAGGGTTCCTTGCACTTAATTAGTATTTTCTGTAAAATATAAAAATCAATTTTAATTATTTCAATAATTTATATTTTTAATATATGACATTAAAGTTAGCAGTCACTCCATAATTTTTTAATTTTACTAACAGAAGAATTTATTCCAAAAAATTATTTAAAAAAAATTGCATTTTCAATTTTTTTAAATTTCTACATGTCAATTTTACTTTGCCATAATTTATTTGTTTTAAGATTTTATAAATTATTAAATATATGCTAAATTAATTTTCATTAATATGACACTGAAATTGACAGACATTAGAAATTTTTTCATAATTAAACAATGACATTAAAATTAGCAGTCTCTTAACTACAATTTTTTAATTTTATTTAATAGAAAAATTTGGTCCAAAAAATTATTAAAAAAAAAATTGCATTTTCAATTTTTTTAAATTTCTACATGTCAATTTTTTTTTTTGCCATAATCTATTTGTTATAAAATCAATAAAATTATTAAATCTATGCTAGATTAATTTTCATAATTAATTATCAATAAAATTACTATGAAAAAAATTTAATCAAAATATTTCACTTGTGAAAATATAAAAAAAAAATAATTAGAAGAAATTTTTAAAAACATTATTATTGTTATAAAAAATTTTTTTAAATTGACAGGTATCAGTATCTTATTTTTAATAATTAATAAAACTCAATTAAATTTAATACTTACCATAGAAAAAACAGCAGGGTTATAAAACTGATGCGCAGAAGAGCAGGATCAGATTTTTTATCAATTTAAAACACTTTTGACTTAATTTAACAATTATCACACTATTTAATCACTTGAAAAACTTTAAAAGTCACAATAAATAATTTATTTACTTCAATTACGCTATAATATTTATAAAAAACTAATATTTCCTCGCGACTTACTTCCAGAACATCCAGAAGAGCGGTTAAAATTAAACTGACAACTGATTGGTTGAATTTTGATTGGTTAAATTCAAACTCGCCGAACTGTTCCGAAAATAACCGAGCGAAAACCGCTAAATTGACGGTGGGTTATAATTTTTTCTACTTCTTTTTTGTCATAATTTATTTGTTTAAAAAATACTTAAAATTATTAAATATCTGCTAAATTAATTTTCATAATTTATTAAAGAAGTAATTAGCAAAAAAATTATTAAAATAATTGACATGTAGAAATTTTAATAAATTAAAAATGCAATTTTTTTAAAATAGTTTTTTTGAACAAATTCGCTTTTAAGAAAATTAAAAAATTGTCAAGTGATAGCTAAATTTAATGTTATAAATTTTTTAATTTATATTTGAATGTGATTTTTAAAAAATGACTTTAAATATGATTTTTAAAAAATTAATCTTATTAATTTAACTTAATAAATATTTTATTGAAGGTTTGTAATAATTTATAATTTTAATTAATGATACTAAAGTTAGCCGACGTTTTTAATTTTTTGATTTTTTTTTTAATAATTAAATTAGAACAAAAAAATATTTTTTAAAAATTGCTCTTACAGTTTTTCAAGTTTTTAACAATTGACAATTTTTTTTCTTTTTTTTTTTGTAGTCATTTTTTCAATAAAAAAATTTTTTTTTATTTTTAAATGTCGGCTAACTTAATTTTCAGAAAATGTAAGCATAGGAGAAAAATGTTGAGGCTTAAGCCTCAATAAGCCTCATAAATTAAAATCGAAATATTTTTATTTATTTTGGGAAGATATGAAAATTTCTCTTCTATTTAGTAAATAAAAATTCTCAGAAGGTTAAATTTATAATCGGGGAAAGAACATAGAAAAATAGTACGTTGTACTAATCCATAGCATCAACAATGATACTATGGATTAGTCCAAGGTTAATAATTTTTAACTCCCTACCCTCTTTCTCACAGCAAAATTTCAAACTTTACTATTTTCTCTCAGACCGTTCTGAACAGTTTATAAATACGGACGACAACACTCGACTCGTGGTCAAGCAATTTTTTTGTTTTAAGTTAATTCAAAAAGTTATTACAAATTTGGAAATAAAAATAATATAAAATAAAATTAGGAATTACTAATAACTATAATAAATATAAATATAACTATATACAGCGTAACTGTTACGCAACTATATATGAGTTGTTAGAGGCTGCAAAACATTATAAATTGAACATAAAATTGAGGCGGCTGATTGAAAATCGCAATCCTTTTGTTATTGATATGAATTTCAATCCAGAAGCCAAATGCGAATATATTGGATTCAAAGGCACCGATCAAGCCGGCCATTTGTATAATAAATAAATAAACTATAACAACTATAAATAATTAATTCAACTCTAAATTCACCTATTATGGACTTCTGGAAATTAGGGTGTGTTGGTGCGTCACCAACCCCGGTGTTCAAACAAAGAAAGTGCCAAATAGAAGAGATTTCTTGTCGGAGCTGGAAAATAATCTGAAAAAAGAAAGCTACACCTATTTGGTATGTCAAATGGGACTACGCAACAAAAGATATTTCTAAGCAACGCTTTATGAACGGAATGGAGATAACTCTAAAAGATGAACCTGAACTACCATGCAAATTTTATGAGAAGATACTTTTTTAGATCTAATATTAAATAGTGATTTAGTGTATATATATATATATATATATATATATATATATATATATATATATATAATTAACTGTGTGTTAGTAATTAGAAAACAAAAAAGTGTTAAATTTTTTGTTGTTTATTTGGAAAGATTTTAAGTTTGTATTTCGTGCGGTACTTTTAACACAACTGATTGGCTGAATTTTGATTGGTCAAATTCAAACCCGCCGAACTGTTCCGAAAATAACCGAGCGAAAACCGCTAAATTGACGACGGGTTATAAAACGACATATATGTATAATTCAAGAGCTGAACTCTGCCATCAACCGCAGCAAATCTAGATCAAGCCCAGGGCTGGACCAAATCAGCTATGAAATTATAAAGCGATTGCCAGAGAGTCTAAAAACGCGTCTCCTCGACTACTACAACAACTTCATCAAACGAAGCAAGTATCCATTGGCCTGGACAGCGCATCTGGTTTACCTTCTACCCAAAGGAGACACAGTTAAATTCAGACCTATTACTCTTGCACCTTGTTTCCTCAAGGTGATGGAGAGGATAGTAGTTGACCGTACCACATGGTGGCTAGAACACAATAATAAGATTCCAGACACACAATTTGGCTTCAGAACGGGCAAGAGCACCGCGGACAATCTAGCGGTTGTTGTTGGGGACATATACACCGGACTAGCTGCAGGCGAATACATCGACAGCTACAGCGCGTACCTAGAAAAATTAAACCTCCAGCTCTCACCTGAAAAAACAAAAATAATCATTTTCACTCATAATGATTACAATCCTCAAGATATCTCATTCACTATAAAAAATGTGACAGTCAAGCCAACAACCTCTGCAAAGTTCCTAGGGGTCACCCTTGACCAAAAGTTGACATTCGAAGACCACTACTCTAACATCCTAACGAAGATCAACAAAGTCTTCCCACTCATCAAATCACTGTGCGGAACCAAATGGGGGGCTGCCCCAGCAACTCTTCTCGCAATATCTATAGAGCATTGATTAGAACTAAAATAGAGTATGGGAGTCACATAATGAACGCCATCTCCAGCAAACTATTCAGCAAACTGGAAAAAGTACAGAACAAAGCCATAAGAACGTGCATGGGACGAATTGAAATGAATTAAAATTAACTAAAATTAATAATTTCGTTAAAAATAATAATATTTATTTTATGCCGTAAGATGGACGGCGGAGATCCTAGGGTCCATCTTTACAAGCATGGAATGTGAGTGAATTCCATACATGTTTGTAAATTAATTAAAATTCATTAAAATTGATTCCAACGAATTGAAATGAATTAAAATTAACTAAAATTAATAATTTCGTTAAAAATAATAATATTTATTATTTATAAATATCAACTCCGATCAATTCCATGATGGCGGAGGCAATGTGCTCCATATGTGTATAGTCTCCATAGCTCTGGTGTTGATAAAGCCGTCTGTAATAAAATTTAGTAAAATACAGTAAACTTTCTATAAAGTTTCGGTCTTCGGGGTAGGAAACTATTCAATGTAGATTTAAAGGGGCGTGGCTTATTTCTTACAAACCAATCAATCTAAAGAATGGTAACTCACCAATACATTGAAATAACGCCCGGGAAATTTAAATATTCCTTTCATATCAATAACCTAAAATTTGTCAGAATCAAATTCAATTGACACATATTTCATATTAATTGTTTAAAGTTTTATTATTTTACTTACATCATAAATAAAACTAATTATTAAATATACGTTTTTTTATATTATCTAAAACTTTACAATCATTAATAACATCTTGGTTGTTCAAATCACAATTGATTTGATGCCAGTGCTATAATAGGTTAACTGGTTCTAATGCTTTTTGATCAAACAATTTTTAATCATAATAATTATTGATATTATCACAAGTAGCATAGTTTATTATTATTATTATTATTAATAAATATCAATTTTAATAATATGCACTACATGTTTACTAATACTTATATTGATACAGCAAGGGTTATGGTGTTTATATTTTTGTGATATGATAAGGCTAAGCTGGTTTGCAAAATAACTATCTTATCGACCTTACACATATGCTCTCACACATAAAATATGCTCCGTACCAGTACCGCCTTGTGTCGTGCGAACGAAGGGGAAATATTAAAGAGAAGGGGAAAAGATTGAGGGGAACGGAACTATTCACAGCGGAACTTTATAGAGATTTTACTGTATATTTATAAAAATGTGGTGAAAAATTTTATTTTGTAAATTTATTAAAATAATGTAACATAGCTTCTTCAATTTAGCTCCAAAATTTTTTTATTTATTTATAATTTTTAATTAACTATTGAGTTTTATAAAGTTATCAGCTAAATTTATCTAGTTTTGCTATTAAACCTGTGATAAGGTTAACCTCGACAATAACCAGGAGTAGAATAATAGTTTAAATAATTCAAATATGGAAAGTGATGATTTATTAACGCGCGTAGAAGAGGTCGAGGATATAATTAACAGATTCTATGCCGGAGGCGTACCTCATCTTCACAATGTCCTTCTGCATTTTCAAGCATCTCCACAGGCTTGGAACCTCGTCTGGGCTTTGTTGGATCCTTCGAGGGTATTTATTAATTTTAATAATTATTTATTGAATTGCTTTATTAATTTTTGTAATTTTTTCAGTCATGGAACGTTCAATTTTTTGCGGCTACCACTTTGCAAACCAAGATATTGAAGCAATGGGATGAAATACCGGCTACAGATTATCCGTTTTTAAAAAATGAACTCCTTAGAAGAATAGTATCTCCAACAACACCAAAGGTTACTGCTGCTAAATTATTTGAAGCTGTAAGTAATCATTATTTTATTTAATTAGAAATTTTTTAATTATTGACAACAATAATTTATGAGAATTAATTCAGCAGATATTTGATCTTTTTAAAATTGTTGTAACAATTCAATTATAGCAAAAAAAAAGTAGAAAAAAATTGACATGAAGAAATTTAAAAAAAATTAACAATGTAATTTTTTTGTTACAGAAAATTGTCAGCTAAATTTGATGTCAGTATTAATCTTTTGTTTGCTTTGTCATATTTATAATTTAATCCATTGTTAATTCTTTTAAATTTAGGATTAAATTACTCCGACTTATTTTCTATTTTTAATATTTAAGTAATCTATATTATTAAGAGAATAAGAAAAATTTTGTGTCCAGGATAGTCATATGATAAAATCGGTTTTTTTAGTGAAATTTAGTGTCATTGCAAAGGTCTTGACTTGAATTTGTGCCTTTTCATGTGAATTATTGAGATTTTTAAAGATATAAGCTCACCCTGACATTATACTCATCGAGACCTTTCATTTGAGTACCCACATCAATTTTTCATATATTTTATATATTTATATATTCCACAAATACCATATATATAAAATATACAACAAATGCCATGTGGGTACTTGAATGAAAGGTCTCGATGAGTGTAACATCGAACTGAGTTTATATCTTAAAAAAGCTCTTGATGAGTGTAGTAGCGGGATGAGTTTATATCTTTAAAAACGTCAATATTTAAGAGAGTACAGTGCAATTTAACAAAAGTCATTATTTAATAAATTAATTATTACAGCTAGCGGCATTTCTGTCAAATTACTACGGCACAGATGACAGAACTGAGGATGGCGAAACTAAAGAATTAATGGATGATTTATTAGGAATGTTACCGTACAATAATCCCGAGACACTAGAGATCTTACTCGGAGTATTTCTAGCTCTTTTACTAGACGTAAGTAAACAAACTTTAATCACTCTCATTAGATTATCCCCACAACAATTAACAAAAACAAATTAAAGGTTGAAAAAAGAAAAGGAGCCAAACGTACAAAACTCCGTCAACAACTGGGCCTAAACGAGAACGCTAGCGTGAACTGGAGTAAATCAACCTGGCTACTGAAGCAAGTATTCACCACCTACGCAGAGGCAATTTCCGCCGAGAAAAATTTTTTCTTCATGGCCCTGGAGTGCGCGTTGTCCTGGATAAGAATGTACCCTCCACTCGATCTAATAAACCAATTATTTGAGCACTTTTTAATAGCAGCAGCGCACTACGTCCCCAAAAACGACGAGATGGACGACGAGAGCCGAGGCTGGGAAGTGTCCCAAGAAATCCTGTCTACCGCAATGAGCCAAGAAGGTCTCCTAAAAAGGCCCTCTTTATTCTGGGAGTGGACCCGAGCCCTAGTGACTCTAGCCCAGCAAAACGGGAACGTCAGCTTCGCTTCAATCCTCACAGGCCTCGGCGAGACAAACACTCGCACACTTCTCCTAGCATTAGTCCAGGAGACAGATGAATCCAAACGCTGGACAGTGGAGACACTCATAAACCTGCTGCTCAGGTGCTCGGAGTATCCCGGGCGTTACGCTACTCAAGAGCGTTACAGCAGCATTCCCTTGGGCTTCTGGTTCGCGCTTCAAGATCACATATCTATGTTAGACACTCCTCTGGACGTTCAAGTGCACCATGCATTAAAGCCCATTTATGTAAGGCTAGTTCACGTTCAGCTTCAAAAAATGACCTTGCCATTGACTCCAGAAGAAGCTGGGACCGCCGAGGAGCGAGAAGTATTCCGGTGTTACCGTCAAGACATCGCCGATAATATGACTTATTGTTTCAATATAATTGGCCAAGAATTGCTGGTGATTTTAGGCCAGCGGCTGAGTCCACCGTTGATTGACACCTTGAAATGGGTCGACGTTGAAGCAACACTCTATTCTTTTCAAGCTTTGTCAGACTGCGTGGAGACAAACGACCTAGAATGTGTCCCAGCTTTAATGAATTTAATCATCACCGGAATTTCTTACGACAAATATCCCGATGAAGTTTTAGCTTGTGCCTGTTCAACAATAGCAGCCTACGCTGAGTGGTTGGGAGAGAATCCAGACCCGTGGCTCGAGAGGTCGCTCCAATTAATAACTTACAGCTTAACTCAAAGCCCGATGGTGCTAACTCGAGCGACGATGGCCCTCAAGGACATCACACGCGAGTGTCAGGAAAATTTAGCTACTCTAGCGCCCTCCATTCTTGATACAATCAGCAAGACTTTGATGGTCCTGCCGAATGGAAGCAACGAGGGGATGAGACTAATGTATGCTGCCGGTAAATTGATCAACGCTTTGAGGACTACTGAGGAACAGCTGCAGTACCTAGATGCGACTCTAGGGCAGTGTGTTTTAAAACTCCGCGAGCTTATGCAGAATCCTGTTCCTGAGTTACAAGAAAACGTCGCAACGCAGCTCAGAATGGCGACTATGTTCTTGTCCACGCTGGAAGGAGCCATGGGAAAGTCGGTACTGGATGGACTAATGCCGACTTTTAATCAGATTGTCTCGCATCCGGAGTTGAGTCAAAATGATACGATTCTAGATGCTATGTACAATTGCGCACAAAGGGCCTTGCAGTGTCTTCTACACCCGGAGAAAGATTCCAAGTCTTTGTTGAAGTTGTTGGTTGAAGCTTATAAAGTTAGACCTCATCCGGCTGCGTTGCAGTTGCTCAGGCAAGTTGTTCTGCTGTTTGGGACGGATTCGAACAATGCCATGGGACCGATTTTTGCGGAAATTGGAGGGCATACTCTGGATGGTTTGGATTCTTGCAGCTCTTCTGGAGGGAATTTGTCAGACTTTGGAGATTTGCTGGAAGCTTACTTGGGTTTGTTAGGACAAATTTGTAAAAAGACACCTAAATTAATGCTACAAGTTCCTGAACATATCAACAATATGTTGAGATGTGGTAAATTAAATTTATTTATTTATTTATTTATTTTATAAATTAATTAGGATTAATGTTTGGTATTGAGATACTTGATGATATTTTTGTTTTTAGGAATAGTTTCTCTAGGGCTTCAAGAAACGGCAGTCATCAAAGCTGCTGCTACATTCTTGATACACGCAATAGCACAAACTCAAATTTCATCGTATGTTGAAAATGTTGGAGCGGAGCTTGTTGCCATGATAATGGACTGCATTGGTAAGTTTTTATGAAAATTAATTTAGAAGATGTTTAATAATTTGAATGGTTTTTTTTTAACAAATAAATTATTGCAAAAAAAAATAATATTTAAAAAATTAAAAATGCAATTTTTAAAAAATAATTTTTTTAAACAAATTTGGTTGTTAAAAAAAATTAAAAAATCGTCTAGTGACTTCTAACTTTAAAGTCATAATATTTTTATAAAAAATACTTCAAAAAATTTTAATGTTATTAAAGTTAGACGACTTTTTGATTGTTTTTTAATTTATTAAATTAGAATTAAAAAATATTTTTAAAAAATTGCACTTATAGTTTTTGTAAATTTTTTACAAATGAAAATTTTTTTTTATTAATTCGTAATAATTTTTTTAGTGAAAAAAAAAATTATACAAATTTTTAAATGTCGGCTAACTTAATTTTCATAAATTTTGGGTAAAAAATATATTTTTTTTTTTTTTTTTTTTAGGAGGTAAAGTGGCGCGCAATAATCTTGAGCATCATTCTCAAGTCCTGCATGCATTAAATAATTATTTGAAAAACAATTTCGGCGCTTGGATACGTTCTGCATTAGAGAAAGGAGTTTTATCATCCCTCACACCAAGCCAAAAAGAAACTCTAACTCGCAGTATTTTAGCGGAACGCAATAAAGGCCGGCTGAGTGAAATGTTACAAAAATTTAGTTTAGAATATTCAAAGCCTGTCGTCGGGCTTTAATTTTTATTTAAAACAAAAATGGTTTAAGTTTTTTATCGAATTTTGTAATTACATTTTTTTTTTTATTTAGTTTTAATCAGCGACGGCTGTGTAAGATTTAAAACATTACTTATTTAGAGAATTTTAAACATCATGTGATTTATTGTTTATTGTAAATGATTTTTTTTATACATATTGTGAAACTATTTTCCATTGAAAATATGCCATATTAATTCATTAATTCATTATAAATTTTATTTATAGAGTAATGTAAAAAACTATTCTTGTATGATCACAATAAATCTTTAAATATTAAGGTAGTTGTGAAAAATATCGTTTTTGTTATTATTCAAGTCAAAATTAACTCTAGTGATTATTATTTTATATATTTATTAAAAAAAAAAATCAGGTAATTACTGTATAAAACTATTGAAATATGATCACAATTATCGATCACTTTAAAAATGACAAAGTATTATTATAGACACAAAGATTAATATGTTTATTATAATATCAATAGTAATTAATTACAGTAGAAAAAAAAATATATTAAATAAAAAATGAAGCCGGGAATATATCACATACATTTTTGACAGAATTCTATCAGCTTCATAGTTGATTGTATTTAATACTAATCAAAACGTTTGCTATAAGTTCATTTTTAACAATTACAGTACAATTAATAATAAAAAAAATATATAATCATCAAAGTGAACCTTGAAAAAAAAAAAAAAAAAACAACTTAAATAAGGTAAAAGACCCAATTATTGACACTGGCCCAATTATTGAACCCTTGCAATTTTATTCTGATTAAGAAAATAATTCAAAAAATCAATTATCTTAAAACTTATAATTAAAAAATTACAATTATTATTTCATTAAATTAAATTTATTTTTTTTAACTAAAATAAAATTGTAAGTGTCAATAATGGTAATAGAAAAAATAGACCCGAAAATTTTAGTTATGAAAAATTCATATTTATTAAAATTATTATAAAATAAAAATCGTAATAATGATTATTATTATAATGTTTATTTTATATTAATTTTAATGAAATATGAATTTTTCATAACTCAAAAATTTTTTCCGAGATTCTCAATAATTAAATCTTTTACCTTACATATGTATATATATATATATATATATTGATTAAGAAACAACGCGTACGTACTTACTAAAAAATATATTTGTACGCCGCAGTACCTGTACATTTTGTACACAATAGTTGTTACAAAATAGTTTTGTTTAAAAAAAACCATTTTAAATAAAAAAAATTAACTATCAAGTACGTATATGATTGAGTTTGTATACCAATTAAAAAGAAAAAACATTTCTGCATTAACTTATTGTGCATTATTTCCATTAGCCGGCGCAGGTGTGGGTGGAAAATTGGCAGCAATACGGGACTTTCTTTGCCGAGGAGGTTTGTGTGTTTTTTGTACCTGAGAATTGTCCCTGAACATCCCGAGCTGTTCGTTAGCAGCCTTGTTAATGGGTTTATTATCAACCTTGGGAGAATTGTTGACAGTTTTAGTCTTGGCGGGCTTGGGCGCCAAGTCTTTGTTGTCCTCCGGGGTTTCTTTAGGCTTCCGCTGCTTGTTCTTCTTCTGTGCCTGGAGAGGAACAAACGGAGTGCTCTGTTTAATCACCTCGGGCTTATCCGTCAATCCTGGTCCGGGCTTGGGGTGGTTCTGCGGAGCTGGTCCGAGTCCTGAAGAAGTCTGGTGAATCGGGCGAACTTGAGGGTTCAGGTGCATCGAGGGCATTGGCGGCATTGGAGCCATCTGCGTGAAAGGAGCTGGAGTCTGCGGTGGCATCTGGTTCCAGCTGGTGGGAGGTCTTATGGGCGGCTTCCTCGGGTCTGGGAAGGAACGTGGCGACATCATGGACTGCAAGTTGATGTTCGAAGGCGGCTGGATGTTCATCGGGATGTTCATCGGCGGATGCATGTTCATTGGCATGTTAGGTGGATTGTTGGTCCATGCGTTCGGAGGACGTAGGTCGAAGAAGTGCTGAGGCTTAATTCCTTTGTCCAGGTTCAACTCTTTGTACACTTTCATGGACACATTCTCAGCTGCGAGCTTTGGATCGGAGCACAAGTCTCCCCATACACTCTGCATGTTCGGGAGCACAATCTGAGCTTTTACTAGATTTTTTTCAGTGTGATAAAAGTACCGCGGCGTTCCAAGTCTCATCACTTGAAAGTGGTTCAGTAATAGTGTGCTGTAAGACACTGTCTCCTTGCGATTGTTCGCTTGCCTCGCGTGCTGCAAAAATATTTATTTATTAGCTTAGCTTATTTTTTAATAAATTGAAAATGACAATTAAGTGATGAAAAAGCATGCGACGATTAATCTGATTAATATTCATGCAATTATATTATTGTAAATATATAAATGATTTTTTACTGAACCATTAACCCAGTAATAAAACATACATCGAACATTTGTTGTACCAGTGGTGGTGCTGACGGCGGTACTAGCGGCGTCGGCGGAAATATAAAGGGTTTTATGTTGGTATTTACTGCCGCTGGTGCTGATGACGGTGTCGGGGCACTAGGCTTGTCGTCGGATATTTTCAGGACTGCTTTCAGAAAAGCACTCGGGTCTTGAGGCTGTTGTGTAATAATAATAATAATACTGTTAGTTTAGTTATCGTTACTTTACTTTTTAATCATTGATCACCATGCCAATGCTTATTTAATAAATAATTAGCAAAGTTAAAACGTCTTAAGCTATTGACTTTTTCAACATAAACCAGATTTGTTCCCCAGACAATACTAGACAATACTAGACAATACTAGACAACGACAAGTCGGGATAATTTTAAATACTTTACCGAGTTATTTACTGGCGCCGGTGGCACTTGAGGTCGCACCATTGAGAAATTCATTGGCTTTTGGACGTTGGCTCCGCTCGCAATCTAAAATATTTAAAAAATTACAGTATAATTATTTAAGAGAGTATTTTAGTTTAGAAATTTAAAAAAATTGATTTTTTTTTCATGTTTTCAAAGATTAGCCCTTCAAGAATATGTCTTTAAGAGAATTTTAGAAAATTCAAATTATTTTTGGAGAAATAGCGAAATTTTAAACGCGTTTTTCTTGAAATCCAATCTTCTAGCCCAGAATACCCCTATAGATAAAAAAAAAAAAAAAATTACCGTGGATTTTTGTAGTTCATTCCACAACATTTGAAATTCAGTAGCCTTTTCATTAGAATTATTAGCCTGAGTAGTAGCAGGAGCCACTTTAACTTGATTACTTGTAGGCACTGTAGGTTTTTGTGTCTGCAGATTAGAATTACGAGCAGCAGGTAGATTAACTTTACCATTCCCCCCAGTATTATTATTATTATTATTATTATTATTATTATTATTATTATTATTATTATTATTCTTAGCAGGTAAATTCACCGAGTTCAAAGGTTCATTTTTCTTCATAACCCGTATTTGTTGCTGCGATTGTGCCGAAGCCTGTGCTCCCTTCTTACAGAACACTGGCAAGAAGTTATCATGTTTATTAAACGACGCAAAAGCACTAGACTTAGCATTGCTATTGCTATTACTGTTACTACCCGTATCACCCCTGGGCTGTTTCTTGCGAGCCATTTTTTCCATCACCATTCCAAGCCCAGTGATATCCTGCTCAGCTCGAATTCCATGACTGATATTAATAAACTCAGCGGTCAGTAACTTGTATCTCCGACAAGTAGCTCCTCCAGTGAAAGAAATATTTCCAATAAAGGGTTTATCAAACAAAACATCATAAGTTGTTTCATCTTCAGTTCCTTGAATCCCCACGATGGTGCCCTTGTAGCCAAGCGGCACAGCGGAGTCATTTTTCACCGTAATAATTCTATCAAACATCCTGTGCTTAGCTGAAGGGTCCGGCGGGATGTTACCATTATTCAACTCGGGTTTAAAAAGCAAGTGAGGCTTAACTTGCATCAGCACAGTCTTAGAAGTACTTCCCTCTTCTTCAACATACTTATCCACTTGTTGTTGCAATTTTCCCACAATCTCCGGATCAAGACCTTCTTCGTCGCAATTCCTAGAATTGACACTCCTAAAAGGTTGCTCCTTAAGCCACTTAACGACCTCCGAAAGCTCATCACAGTTATTAAAGACCTCATCTTCATTGTACATATCATTACTAGCATTTACCGCGAGGTACTCAAACAACAACGGATATTTCTCCATGTAGCTTCGAATTAGTCCAATAGACTTCGAACTGTATAGCCACTGGCCCTCAACCTTCTTAGTATACCCCGGCAGCTCTTCATTCTTCTTATTGAACTTCAAATTCAGCCCGATGTTCTGCTGCTTGCGCTCAGGAGTCGACTGTTCAGCGGTGCGCTCAGGCAGGACGAAAATAGACCCGGTGATGCGGCTCAGCAGGTGGCTGCTGATGCCCAGCCGCTGGGCAGCAATGCTTCCACACATATACTGCATCCTCAATTGACTCTGCTCTTCCCTGAGCTCCCTGAAGTCCGGCTCAGGAGAAAATTTCATAGCTACCTTCACACGACCAGTCTTAGTATTTATCCCGGGAGGAATAACGTCACCCATCGCTCCATAATGCGGATGCCCAAGCATGAAACATATGCTCTTAGGAACATAAATATCACTGATGTTCTTATGAGTGATAAAGCCTTCCTGCTCGACTTCAATATCACGCACGATTGTCTGATAAGGGTAGCAAAACGGGTGGCTCGACCATTCTTTCTCCAACGAAAGCCTGCCTTGATTAGATAAAATGTACCTCCGTCCGGAGATAGGACACGCGTGGATCAGCATGCTCGTCTGCCCAATATCAATTCCAAATCTTGATTTATAAGCCAGCGCGACGCTCTTTGACTCAGAGCTCCACTGACTCTTAGAGGAGTCTTTAAAAAACTCCCGGTTTAAATTATCCATGCCATAAGGATGGTTCATGTTTATTAAAGTGAACTTGCTGTCTTTAGTAGACACTCCAATTACAAAAGCCTCTACCAAGTGTGGCCATTTAATGTAAACAGTCTTGCCTAATATCTCACTGGAGATTTTCTCTATTGTTGGAGGTTCTTTAGGTAATATTGACACTATCATATTCTCTCCTCTAGAAGCCTGTTCAAATACTTTGACCTTGGCTTTGTCTAGACAAACTTCATGCTTGATGTGCTGCATCGTGGGGAATCCAGAGTAGTAAACATGCAACTTAACATTTGGACACAGTCCCTTGACTAATTTATCAATTGGCACGATTAATTCTTTAGGATCCAGAAGTTCGATTTTTGCGTGGCTCTCAATCGTGGGAAAATAATCAGGAGCTCTAACAGATCCTAAATTATCTTGTGTGTACGTGATAATGTTCATTGGACCATGTTGGTTGCGCTGAAGTTCTTCAGGAGTCAGTAATTTTTCACAAGGACTCATTGCTTCGATTAATTTCTTCTCGTTTATAAACGGAATAAGGACTACAGCTTCCCACTCTTGCTTCTTTTCATTCAAATCGGTCCTGAAATCTAAGGGGTAGTAGTCGATTATTGGCGAACGTTCTTCTGTTAGCAAGCCTTGATAAGCTGGAGGCAACAGTTCTTTACTAGCTGCTGGAAGAACGGCTAGTAGTTGCTGGAAAGGCAAAAACGGAGTGCCTAAATCGAAGCTTAGCTTGAAATCTTTGAAGCCTTTTATATCGGAAATGTAAGGAGCGTAGTGGTGGGGGTAGTACCAGGACCAACTGCAGCAGCCGTCGTAGTAGTAGTGCAAGTTCCACTGAATTGCAGTGACATAAGCTTCAGCTTGAGAGCGCATTACTGAGGCGTCAACTAATTCATATTCAAATTTGTTTATGTAGTAGTCGCGTTTGTGCTGTAGAAACTCAAGATTGTACATCTCGTTGTCTGAATCGGTGTCTATAAGTTCTTCTTCGTCAGAATGACCTAACAATATCTCGTCAGTCGCCTGGATCAACGCGCTCAAGTCTTTGTTCATTGGTGTCTTGATAGGAGAGTCCAGCTGCTCGGGTGAGTCTTTGGATTTCCTGTAGCTTGTTCGTTCATTTTCGTTTGGCCGTCTTCCGGTTTTTCCCTCGAAGTACTTGAGGTCTGCGAGAGTTTCTGCGAAACGCTCAACGTCGATGTGCGACAGTTGGTTCATAAACTTCTCGAAGCGCTCCAGGTTCAACTTACCCGCCTCGTTTATGTAGCCGTCTAGGGTTGGTAGGATTTGTTTGTACGCGTGGTATAATACTGGTAACGCTCCATTGGCTATATGTAAATTAGGCAGGTGGGGAATGAAATCATTGCCGACTAAAAATCCCATAAGAATCCAGTCGTCTATTATTTTTTCAATGTCAAAGGGAAATTTTAACTCGGTTTTTAGGGATTCGAACTCGTGCTCCATATACTCGCGGAGCAGAGAAATATGGAGCAGGCAAAACTTTGTTTTTTCGGGTATTATGCATTTTTGTACGTTTTTTCCATATTTTACTTCTTCACGTAATACTGCAAAATGTGGCTCGTGGGTACAAAGACTCAACATTATCAAATCTGCGTCCAGTCCGTAAAGACAGTGACGTGTGTTGGGATCGTGATCTGGTTGGGATTTCATGTATCTTATGTAATCCATTATTTTGTGCTCGCCTTCACCTGGTACCTTGAAAAAATAAATTTTTGTTTTTAAAAATCGTGCTAAATTTAAGGTAAAAGACCTAGTTATTGACACTGGCCTAGTTGATTGACACTTGCAATTTTTTTTTATAAATATCATTTTTGAATTATAAATTTTGAGAGTTGATTTTTTAACATTTTATTTTTTTAATTAGAATAAAATTGCAAGTGTCAATAACTAGGCCAGTGTCAAGAACTGGGTCTTTTATATTAAATAATTGAAAAACCTAAATCATTAAAGTTATTAAAAATTTGTAATAATAATGTACTTATTACTTTGTACTTAAATAATCTATTATTATAGATAAATATGATGTAATTATGTATTTTTTCTGATTTTATGTACAGGTGTGTACCACCTCCATAGAATCACTACCAAAAGTAAAATAATAAATAAATAAAATATAATCTTATTATTAAGCTATATATTAAAAATAATTATTGTTATCTTGCTAATTTTATTTGACATGACTGCTAATATTTGAGCAATTAAGATAACCTTCAATTAAATAATTAAAACCATTATTGTAATTGATGGACGTTTTGAATGAAAAAATTTTAATTAATTACCTCAGGACCGCTGAGAATAATTTTGCACTTCTGCCACAATTTGTCGGTAGATATTTTGTAAGTAACAAAATACTTCAGCTGTTGGGTCAACTTGGCCATAAAAAGTGTACCAGGAGTAATACAATTGGAGTCGAAGCGCGATTCCTCAGGTATAGTTTCACCCTTGGCGCGAGCTCTTGCTTCAACGAGCTCGGCTTCTTTGGCCGCGCGAAAACGCCGTCCTCGCTGCTGGTTTATTTTAGCACGTGGCGCAACACCATCGACAGCCATAAAAAATAATTTCTGGGGTTTTATCGTACGGAACAGTACTTCAACATAGTGAAATATATTTTTGAATATCGTCTCCTCGGTGATGCGAAATTGCGCGTCAGCGTCGTTTGGATGCGAACAGCAGTGGATTATGCCGTTCATATCCAAGTACAGATTATCGAATTCCGGAATCTGGAGAAAAAAAAATTTAGTTAATTTTTTTATGAATAAAAATAATAATTATTATCTGTGCTTTGGGTCCAAGAATAATCAATAAGTTCTTTGCCTGACATTACTTGAGATTGACAGTATGTTCATGAAAGATAATAAAATTTTTACCTGATATTCATTCAGCAATTCAATAATACAAGGGTATCTTTCACAAATAAATCTTGCAAACTTCGGCACACCCATTTTTATTTATTATTAATTACGTATTATTAATTTATAGTTAATATAAAGATAATAATAATGTTAACTAATATATATTCATATACAAATTTATTATCAATGGTAAAATATTATCATTTGTATATAAAAATTCATAAAAACTATCTCGTATATAATCACACACAATATACGTATTTTTTAGTCTCATAACACAGATGTAATTGTACATAACCAGATTAATTGTCAATTGTTATATAATTTCTCTAGATGAAATAAATTTTTATAAATAAAATCTAACGTTCGTTTTTTAATTGCTGAAATACGCAACAGGGGCACTACTTTTCACTTTTCGATCTAATAATTTATAAATAAAATAAGAAATTTCAATTAATTAAAAAGTAACTTAAATAACTACTAAAAATTTTTTTTATTACATTTTTTTAATGTAAAATTAATTAATTAGTTAATTAAAAGAGATTATTTGCTTAGTTTGCAGTTTACAATGGGTTTTAGCAATATGGCGGCAGTGGTGGGGGGCGCGGACGACAGGGAGTGTCAGTATCGCCGCAGCAACGAACGAAGTAAGACGCAATTCCGACAGTGGCGGTAATCTCTTAGTCTGATTTTGTATTTTATGAGAAAGTTTCGATTATTTAAGCGTTACTTATTAAAATATTCAATAAATAATATTTATTAACGTAATTAATTGCAAAAATTCATAGAAAAATATGTTTATTTTAAAAAATAATGGTTTTTTTTTCAAATTTTGAATTGTCATCCAAGTGTCCGCCATTTTGTTTTCGTAAAACGGTTCTAATTCATGAAAATTAATTTAGAAAATGTTTAATAATTTTTATAATAAGTAAATTAAGGAAAAAAAATGAGAAAATAATTATTGACATTAAAGATAGCAGTCACTTAGCCATTTTTTAATGTTTTTTTAACAAATGGATTTTTTCTGAAAAATAATTTTAAAAAAATTGCATTTATTTTTTTAATTTCTACTTCTTTTTTGTCATAATTTAATTGTTTAAAAAATTATTAAATATCCGCTAAATTAATTTTTATGAAAAATTGAAAATGCAATTTTTTAAAAATAATTGCACGGGAAAAATTTGTTTTTTAAATAAAATTAAAAAATAGTGAAGTGATTTAACTTTAATGTCATTTTTAATTTTAATAGTGTTCGAAAAGTCTACAAGTTATAAAATTTCAGTTTAATTATATTTTATTTTAATTTTGTGTTTAATTAAGTGAAAATTAAAATTATCTTTTAAGTGTAAGTGAGTGATTAGTTTCACGGATTGAATGACAGCAGCCAAGAAAACTTTATCCTGATTCTCCAGCAGATAACGGTGGAAAAATAGCAGTTAAGTGATGTTGATAGCAGTTTAATTTAATAATACTTGAGTTTTAGAAATTTATAATTTTTTAATTTAATTATTATAAATTTCTTCAAACTTTAGTATCATTAAATCAGGAAACCCTTCTGCATATTATTTTTCCGCCGAGGTTTGTTAAAATTTAATTCCAATAACTTATTTAAAATTAAGTTAGCCGACATTTAAAAATTTTTAGAATTTTTTTTAATAAAAAAATCATTGCAAAATAATAAAAACATTTTTCTTTAATTCTAATTTAATAATTAAAAAAATATCAAAAAATTAAAAACGTCGGCTCACTTTAGTGTTATTTAAAATTAACGCGCCATAACTCCGCCATCTTGATCTCCTGTGTTTCATAAAGTTCATAAATGCACTGTCGGTAAGTCAGGAGGTTGAAGAGAGAGAGAGAGACTCGGAAGAACTTTCGCTGATCATCTCCAACAGTGAAATAAAATTAAACAAATTATCCCGTCTTATAACTCTTATATTTATAACCCGACTTTAAAATAATAATAGTCGTCTTGTTGTCTCTGGTGAGTGAATATAAGCGTTATTCAATAAGATAAACTCTCGAATTTACGTGATTTTATAAATAATACCGACATTTCAAGGTTATGATAACTGAGAATGTAAGCTTGGAAACACTGTGCGACAATAATATTATTTTATTATTTATTAAAAGTTATCAATAAAAAGTGTTACAACATCAATTAGTTACTTTGGCCATTAAGTAACAAATTACTTAATAATAATTACTGTAAAAAGTGATGAGCTCACAGCAAAGCCCAGCAACTATGCAGACGAGTGTTGATAGAGAAAAAGTTTACACCTGGATAATTGAACTGTCTAATCCAGAGACTCGGCAAAATGCCTTGCTTGAATTGAGTAAGAAACGCGAAGTAGTACCGGATTTAGCGCCCATGCTCTGGCATTCTTTCGGTACAGCAGCCTCTTTATTGCAAGAAATAATAAACATTTATCCGGCAATAAATCCGGCAACGCTTACTGCTCATCAGAGCAATCGGGTTTGTAATGCGTTGGCATTGTTACAGTGTGTTGCCAGTCATCCTGAAACACGTTCTGCATTTTTACAAGTAATTACAATTTTTAATATTATAAATATTAATTTTTTAAGTTGAATTTTTTAGGAAATTAATTATTATTATTCATTTTATCCTCTAGGCTCATGTACCGCTATTTTTATACCCATTCTTACACACAGTCAGCAAGACACGTCCGTTTGAGTATTTACGACTGACCAGCTTGGGTGTAATTGGAGCACTGGTTAAAACTGACGAGCAGGAAGTAATTACATTTCTTCTGACCACTGAAATAATTCCTCTCTGCTTGAGAATAATGGAAAGTGGATCAGAGCTTAGCAAAACCGTAGCGACTTTTATTTTACAAAAAATTTTACTTGATGACAGCGGCTTGTCGTACATTTGTCAAACTTACGACAGATTCAGCCACGTCGCTATGATTCTTGGAAAGATGGTCCTATCTTTGGCTAAAGATCCTTCTGCGAGATTACTTAAGCATGTTGTTAGATGTTATTTAAGACTTTCTGATAATCCTAGGTAACAATAATAATTTTATTTTTTAATTAGATACTTTATTTTGTTGAAGATCAGGTGAAATAATTATTTTAAAAAATATATTAGTATTAAAATAAATTATATTAAAGTTAGCAATTTAATTGATCATTTTTTAATTTTATTCAAACAAATTTATTCCAAAAAATTATTTTTAAAAAATTGCATTTTTTAATTATTAAAATTTCTAAATGTCAATTTTTTTTTGCTGTAATTAATTTTTTAAAATTTATTTAACAAACAAATTTGTTGCAAAAAATTATTTTTGAAAAATTGCATTTTTTATTTATTAAAATTTCTAAAAGTCAATTTTTTTTTCTAATTTTTTTTGCAGTAATTTATTTCTTAAAAAATTTTTAATCATTTAAAATGATTTATTAATTTAAAATTTTTTTAGAGCACTTTTAGCACTTCGTCAATGTTTACCAGACCAATTACGCGACAACACATTCGCAACTTGCCTGCAAGAGGACAAATCAACAAAACACTGGTTGAACCAACTGCTAAAAAATTTAGAAACAGGACCAATTACTCCACAAACTGGCCCGACTCAACCTGGACAGCCTGATCCTAGGACAATTGGTATGTCGCCGCTTACGTCTTAGACCTTACGAAAGGACTGGTAAATAAATGAATAAGTAAAAAAGAATACTGATAATTAATAATTTAAGCATAAGTAAAAGATAGTTTTTATTATAAAATTTATTGGAGGGCTTGAATTGTGAGTATGTAGAAAAAGAAATAGCTTAAAGTACTTTTTAAATTTTTTATTACATTGAATTTGATAAATAGAAACGAGTGAATAGAGTTTTTAATATGAAATACTGAATGTAAGATATTAAATACACCGGTTTATTAAATGAAAAGCTCTGTTGAATTGAATACAAAAAAAGATATTCGTATTTATTTGAAATTATAAATTATGCTCGTTTGATTTTAAATTTATTTTTTTTTTTAATACATTTTTTTCGGAGGTACATTCAGTTTATTTTACTTATTGAGCTTGCCTGTAAGTTGTATCACGCATTGAAATTTATAACTCGGATAACTTATAATGTAAATAAAAATAAATTGCATGTGTGGTACTTATGACTTACTGAGAAATTGCTAAGTGATTATTACAATACAATAAATGCAACGTCTTCTATTCAAATAAAATGTGTAAATAAATTTTATTGAAGCATTTGTTTATTTATAATTATTGCTTCGCTTAGTTTTTTTAAATTGCATTAATTATCGATATTATAATTAATAACGGTGAAAATTTAGGTATCGGTTTATTGCGCCGGTAGATTTAAATGTTCATTCATAATGTATAAAAATATAATAATATAAAACTTTAAAAAAATATATGTATAAAGAACTTTAACACTTGGCGTTGAGTCTTACAAAAGTGGATTCAATTTAGAAGACTTTTATAAGAAAAATATTTTAGAGTTTTGTTTTATTTCTTGTATAAAGCAAATAAAAATTCTTAACAGTAATTTTTAAAAATAAGTATTGAGTTTACTAACGAGTAATGATAATTATTAAGCTTCTAGGAAAATAAATGTACAATCTCCCATTTTTTTTATAAAACTGTTGATAAAAAACTTGAAATTTATTTAAAAAAAATTTTACTTGTTTTTTAATCTAAAAATAAAATAAAAATGTTAAAATAATTTTGCGGTATTAAATATATTCCCAGTGAATGAATAAATATTTATTTCAGAGTTAATTGAATTACATTTGAGCTGAAATAAAAGAAACATACATTTAAATAATAAATCAACAGTTAATAAAAACAATGGGTTATTTTAAATTCTTAATCAAGTTATTTAAAGCGTCTGCTGTATAATAAAATTAGCGTTTGCTCACTGCCTCTATTTAGTCTTATATAAATTGAAATTAATTATAAATTATTAACTGATCAGTTGATATCTGACGATTATTAATAATAGTATATTTTGATATTCTCAAATGTGACTGTAACTTGTTATAAAACAACTGTTTTCAATAATTAAATAGTATATATAATTGATATATTTTTAATTATTAAGTAAAAACAAATACTTATATTTGTGTACAGCTATTGGACAATTTTATTTTTAATATACTTTTTAAATTTAATATTTTAGTATTTAATTATATAAGATACGAAAACAATGGCTATGCATCAATATTTTTCATAGTATCGAGTTCTCTGTCATTCTGAAATTATAAAAAAAACAACAAAATAAATTAAGTATAATTTTAACATGTGATGAAAATTTATAACTGATTAATAAATACCGGCTTTGAGGGGTTGTTTCGAAACAATAGCCAATGTACTATCGGTGTATATAATTTTTTATCCTCATATTTACATTTATTTCCTCCCGTAAATCCCGAAACAATCACTCCAACGATAACGGTCGACAAAAATCCTATAAATGTGTACCAGAGATACGAAATTCGGTACAAAATAAAAGGGTCTAAGCTGAAAGATTTATATTTGTTCCAAATAATACACTTTGGAATTGAATATCACCTGTGAGGAATTTTAAACTCAGTGCTTTTTGATTTAAATATTTATTGCGATTTGTGTTTATTCGAAAATTTATTTTTATTATTATTATTACTATTAATTTTACAAATTTTCATTGATAATAATAATAATTAGCAACCTTGCAGTCCCTATGTGACTGCTGTAATTTGTGGACTATAAATAAATAGAATTTTGCTTTATTAAATAATGTTTTTTTTTTTTAATTGCTCTGTATTTTTTCAACTATTGATATTTTTAAAAATATAAGCTCATCTCGATGTTACACTTATCAAGAGCTTTCATTTGAGTACCCACATGCATTTTCATATATTTTTCATATATACTTATATATAATATATATAAATATATGAAAAATTGATGTGGGTACTCAAATGAAAAGTCTCGATGAATGTAACATCGAGATGAGCTTATATCTTTAAAAATGTCAATAGTTCACAAGATATTTGTTAAAATGTCCTGTACTTTCTTAACTATTGACGTTTTTAAAGATATAAGCTCATCCCGATGTTACACTCATCGAGACCTTTTTTATATATTTTTCATATATACATATATATATTATATAATATATATAAATATATGAATAAATTCATGTGGGTACTCAAATGAAAGGTCTCGATGAGTGTAACATCGGGATGAGCTTATATCTTTAAAAATGTCAATAGTTCACGAGAGACAGGGTAATTTCTTAATTATCTACCTAGAGATAGAGCATTTTCGAATGCAGCTTAAATACTTCTCATCATAAATTAACTATTGGTGAGAATGATACAAAACCATGAAAAGGCACAACTCCAGGTCATATTTTTCCAACGATACCAAATTTAACCATACCAACCGATTTTATTATATAATTACACTGGCCACAAAATTTTGCTTATTCTCTTGATAATATAGACAATTAAGCTGTAACAATTTTCAATTGAACTAATTTTCAAGCAAAGGATACTGAACTCTGCAAAGTTATTGATTTAATTCTAAATAAGGCTAATGTTTTAATCAATGATTCCTAACTACCGCAAATTTTTTCAATTATTAATCACAATTCGCATTATTTAAAAAAAATTAAAAGCACAGTTTAAAGTTCAAAAAAATAAAATAATTAATTTACCTCGATGAGTTATTAACAACGGAAGTATTAACGATATTACGCAATAAATCTTCTGGACACCCTTCAATAGATACCTGTTTTTTCGGAAAATTAATTACCCCAGCAGATATCAACGCTTGAGAATTAAACGATATCCATGCAACGATACTCATACTTGTCACTGCACCCGTCAATGCACCCTTTAATTATTTTATCAATTAATTTCACGGTCTAACTCATTAGAATTTTACTCACGATTGAATTCGCGTTGGGAAAAAACATTCCTAGTGTGAAAATTCCCAATATTGGACCTCTGGTTATCGCCGTCAAACTTCTCGTAGTCTGAAATAAAAAATTTTAATAATCCCTGAGAGTAATCAAAGAATAATTTAATTTTTAAAATTACTTGAAGAATACTTCGTAGTTTTTCCACAAGAAAAACCAATCCCGTGCACGTAACGCCGATGATAACAGCCAACAATCTAATGAGTCGAGTGGCAGCTACCGGCGACAATGGTTTTTTTATCCACGGCTTAATAATATCTTCGTAAACTAATCCAGACATACAATTTAATCCCGTAGACATTGTACTGCAATAAATATTACTTTAGATTCATCAAACCCTCTAATAAAATTTTTTTCACTTTGCTACCGACGATACATTTTATTTAGCTCCGCTTTTTTGAATTGTAATTAGCGTAGCTCGTGTTTGAGGCAAAGCGCTTTGATGTTTGTCAACAAAAGTACATTGTTATTAAAGTTTACTTTTTACAGTGAATTTTATTACGGGTGTAATTTTTTAAATTGTGGAAAACCTTTTTGTTGACACGTCGGTCGATTAGCGGGCACGGCAATTGCGGATATTTTTTTTTTTATTAAATTTACTTCAAATAATTATTAAATTAGTAATGCGCTTTTTTCAGTTATTATTATTAATATACACTGAAAAAAAATTAAATTGAATCAAAAGAAAAATTCTTGAACCAAGAAAATAATTTTAAACATTTAAGACGAAAAATTTTTGAATTAAATAAAATTTATTTAAACCAAGAAAAATTTTTTTACTCAAATTAAAATTAAATTATTTATTTGATTAAAGTAAATTTTTATTTTCTGAGTACACCAATAAGATATTGAATTAAAGTGAACACAATTATATAAAAATAATTACCTTAAAGCTGCGCTAAAAATACTTGCAATAAATATCCCCGGTAATCCCAAAATTGATTTACTTATTTTCATCACAAATAGCGGCAATAACTGATCAGCTTTATGAATTTGCTAATTGAAAAAATTTATTTTTAACATAAAGTACTTAGAAAATTTAATATTGAACACTAACTTGGGTCGTTACTGGGTCACAGTCGTAAAATGCTGCATAAATCATTAACCCCAAGTAAATTGTAATCAAGTCGAAACATACTATCCCAATTGACATGATCATTATCATTCTATAATTAATTTTTTAATTAATAAATCGATAGTTAATTTCTAAAAAAACTTACATGCTGGATTTTTTTATGTCCGGGATCGCGAGATATCTTTGAACAGTTATTTGACTGACGGCGCTCTCCGAGAGTACATGGAAATAGCTCCCAATTACAGTCGACCAAAAAGTGTGCCTTATCGTCGGGTCAAAGTCCATACTACCCAAAAATAGATTATTTATTTATAAATGTCAAACATTTTTTATTCAAAAGATTAAGTGATTAAATTACTTAAAAAATTGAATTCTCCCCGACTCGTTGTTTCTTTCCCATACTTTAGCGACTCCGCCGACCTGATAAGTTCCGATAATACATATAGTTATAGTACCACCATACATTACAAGGGTTTGAATGGTGTCTGTCCAAACGACCGCTTTCAATCCGCCCTGAAACAAACAATTTCTCACTGTCACCTCCGCAATCGCTACTGAGTAATGGTTTATTTAAATTTCACCCTTTTTTTTCAACTGTTTACTCTTTATACTTACTAACGTCGTGTAGAAAATGCAAACAAAGCACACGACTGTTGTTATTGTGTTGAAATTTATTCCAGTCACTTGGTGAAGAGATATTGTTGGAACGTACATTATTATTGGTATTACCAAAAACTATAATAATAATAATAAATTTAAAGTAAATTAATAGTTATAGAAAATGGTGAAAGTTTAAGTCTTTATTTTCTAAATTTTGGCTTAAGGGTTGAAGATACCTCAATTGATAAGGACTTTTTTTTGTAGAGAATTTAATCCTTTACAAGAAAGGACTTATCATTTTTTTGTATCTTCGATATTTGACCCAGAATTTTAAATTGAAAGTTAAACATTCTAAATTTTACGAAATTAAATAAATAGAATTTTGCTTTATTAAATAATGACTTTTGTTAAATTGCACTGTACTTTCTTAAATATTGACGTTTTTAAAGATATAAGCTCATACCGAAGTTATACTCATCAAGAGCTTTCATTTAAGTACCCACATCAATTTTTCATATATTTATATATATTATATATATGTATATATGAAAAATATATCAAAAATGCATGTGGGTACTCAAATGAAAGCTCTTGATGATTGTAACATCGAAATGAGCTTATATCTTTAAAAATATCATTATTTGACAATATACATTATCATTTCTTAATTATTGACATTTTTTAATTATATATCTGTATATATGAAAAAATATCAAAAATGCATGTGGGTACTCAAATGAAAGCTCTTGATGATTGTAACATCGAAATGAGCTTATATCTTTAAAAATATCATTATTTGACAATATACATTATCATTTCTTAATTATTGACATTTTTTAAGATATAAACTAATTTCGATGTAACACTCATCGAGACCTTTCATTTAAGTACCCACATGGTATTTTTTTATATATTTTATATATATGGTATTTGTGAAATATATAAATATATAAAATATATGAAAAATTGATGTGGGGACTCTAATGAAAGGTCTCGATGAGTGTAACATCGGGATGAGCTTATATCTTTAAAATCGTCAATATTTCACAAGATACAAGGTCATTTCTTAATTGTATGTGTCTAAAGATAGAACATTTTTGAATGCAGCCTAAATACTTATCATCATAAATTTATTATTGGAGAGAATGATATGAAATCTTGAAAAGGCACAACTTCAGGTTAAAACTTTTCCAACGATACCAAATTTAACCATAAAAACCTATTTCATCATATGAATACACTGGCTACAAAATTTTGCTTATTCTTTTAATAATATAGATAATAATAATATTAATAAATTATTTACCATATCAATAATAAAAATTGAAGAGCCCAAAATTTTGACATAACGATTGAATCGAAGTTCTAAATACTAAAAAAAAAAAAAAACTTAATTCATATCTATTTCTTGATGTTGTTCTTTCATTCTGTTTATTATTCATAACTAAAAATAACACATACATTATACTAATAAAATGGTATTTTATTTACTATACCCCATACGAAGAGGAGACCTCCAGTCGATAGAAAACCGGCAAAAAAGCAAATATCGAAGTTAAACAAACGAGAACTTCTGGTATGAGTGCTGTCAATATCTGGGTTCCGAAAACGTATATCTCTTCGGTGAACCCCAGTAGCGACGTCCCGGATACCCAACTTAGCATTCAGTTAAAAAAGTTTAAACCCGAGCGGGAATAGCGATAAGAAATATAAATATAAATAAAAATAAATCAGTTATCTCGAAATTTACCTGGCAATCAGAGACATACTGACGGGAAAAACGGACATTTTTAGTCCGCCGGCGAGATACTCCTTGACAGCATCCGGATTTTTGCGGCCTCTGTATGCGTGATACACACCAACGACCGCGGATATTCCGAGCATTGAACCGAATACACAGTAATCAATAAAACTGAATGTAACTTTATCGAGCTCTGGATCCATTTTTCCGAGATTTCAATACCCGGATTAAAATAACAATAAAATAATAATAAAAAGGAAAGAGTACAACTAACCGTGCAGTGCCAACTCGAGAATATAAATGAAATTCGTCAGCTCGTGTTAAGCGCAATTGAATAATTGCCTAATGTAACTAACAATTCTACTTTATTCTTTGAAATCGTTATTCGTCGGATTAAATAATAATTATGATAATTTATAATTTTTATTCTGTGAATTTAAAAAGATAAATTAAATAATACTTTAAATTTAAATAAAAATTAAAATATCTACATATTTTTTTATCATTTATATTATTTCGGTCTTTTATTAATACTTTTTCTTTTTACAGAAACTAATTTCCATTTTGCGGTGCTGTGACATACGGTACTTATAGCTTAGCGCATTTACTGGCATCATATTTTCATTTGACCGGAGATTACATAGTACAGCGTGAATATACTCGGTTTTATGTATCTCCAGTGTTGAATGTAAAAGATATACATAGAACGAGGGAATTGAAGAAACTTTTCGTTTAGTTGCTCTCTGTACTAAAACTACTCTGTACCTCTGTACATGTATTATCACCACAGTTTCCATTACATCTCTCAGTCTCTTAATTATATACAGCTTGTTCTTTGACGATCGACCGTCGAATCAGGGCAGAGTTAAAAATTCAACAAAAAGTCATTTAAATTGCTCTATATTTAAATTTATATAAATTTTTTATTAACTACCCGACGTTGCTTCAAGGTTAATTGCGTTCTGTAAGTAAAAAAATTGTGATTTAATTTTTTATGGAAATTTATTTAAATATTTATATCCAGAGATTGATTTAATTTAATTTAATAATTTATTTATTTACCGTTTTCTTTGATCTCGAAGGCAACAGACAGTGGATGACAGGGGTGTAGAGTTTTTTGTCTTCGCTTTTATATTTATTGAAACCGGTAAGCCAGGAGACAAATAATCCAATAATGATCGCCGTGAGGAACCCTATCCACGTGTACCAGAGATACGACATTTGGTAGAGAAAAAAAGGCGTCGTGCTGTAAAGTAATAATAATAATTAATAACGAGAAGAAAAAGAATGGTGGTAATTAAAAAAAAAAAAGGGTCTACTTTACTTAATAGTGTCCTTAATTAATGTTGCATTAGCAGCAGTGGCTTGTAAAATTTCCGAGCATCCTTCAACGGAGACCGGTTTTTTCGGAATCTTAATAATACCATTGGAAAGTGCTGCTTGAGTACCTAACGAGATCCAAGCTACAAAATGTAGACTAACTAAAGCTCCAACTAGCGCGCCCTGTTTCAGAAATTACCAATTTACATTTCAATCAAATTCAAATTCCCTCGGATAGCAAGGAAATTTATTTTACTTTACTTTTATTTATTTTTAAAGTTACTTCACTCTCTTTGTATCAGATAAATCATTATCGATTAAAGCGAGCTTAAGTGTTTAATCACGTTTTAATTTGATTTATTCGAACGCTAGAATAGAGAGGATATCGACCAAAGACATTGCATTATTCATTTGTAATTTTACTTTTAATTTATATATGTTTACTCGTGTGGAATATACATTACCGTTGAATTTGCACAGGGAAAAAACATCCCTAGGGTGAAAATTCCGAGCAACGGTCCTGCTGTTATTCCGGATAAACTTTTTCCCGCCTGGAATTAATATTTTCATTATTAACGGCAATTATTGTTAGGATATGAAAATTTTACATTGGATAAATTTATATTAGAAAAATTATTTATTGCTTATTAAAACAAAAAAAAAATCATTAATATAAATTTTTTTCTATAATCTATATTATTAGAGGAATAAAAAAAAATTTTGTTTCCAGGATAGTCATATGATAAAATTGGATTTTTTAGTGAAAATTAGTGTCATTGCAAAGGTCTTGATTTAAATTTGTGCCTTTTCAAGGTTTCATTTCATTCTCACCAATAATCAATTTATTATGATTAGTATTTAGGCTACATTCGAAAATGCTCTATCTCTAAATACAAATTTAAGAAATGACCTTTTATCTTGTCAAATATTGACATTTTTTAAGATATAAGCTCATCTCGATGTTACACTCATCAAGACCTTTCATTTGAGTACCCACATCAATTTTTCATATATTTATATATATTATATATATGTATATATGAAAAATATATCAAAAATGCATGTGGGTACTCAAATGAAAGCTCTTGATAAGTGTAACAACGGGATGAGCTTATATCTTTAAAATATATAGTATATATATGTATAAATGAAAAATATATCAAAAATGGATGTGAGTACTCAAATGAAAGCTCTTGATAAGTGTAACATCGGGATGAGCTTATATTTTTAAAAACGTCAATATTCAAGAAAGTACAGTGCAATTTAACAAAAATCATTATTTAATAAAGCAAAATTTTAATTTTTTATAGTTCAAAAGTCACGGCAGTTACATAGTGACTGCAACGTTGCTAGTTATTTCTTTAAATAAAAATGTAATTCGTAAAATATACCTGAATTAAACTGCTGAGTTTCTCAGCGAGAAATACTAAAGCTACACAGATAATCCCAATGAATATAACCATGAACTTCATAACCCGACTGGCAGCTACCTGGGACAAAGGCTTCTTCATCAGTGGTTTAATCATATCCTCATAAATGACGCCAGACATTGAGTTTAATCCCGTCGACATGGTGCTATTAACAATAACATTTTTTTAAATAAAATATTTTCAAGTATGTAATTAATTGATTTAAAAAATTGACGGCGAGTTTTTTTTTATTAAAAAAAATAAATCTTAAAACTCTAGTTTAAGTCGCACTGAAAAAGAATAAAAGTCCGAAATTCTTTTAATTATTTAAACGTCAGAATTTTTTCCAAGTTACTGATTAAAAAGAATAAAAATCCTTGACTTTTTTTACTTCCGAGTTCTCGTGGAACAAATTTCAGCACTAATCTGTCGGTCGCCTTCGAAAGCTCAAGGTTTCGGGTGGACTACCATCAACAGTAAGTCCGACAATTTCTAACCGAATTATGCCCATTTTTACCAGCGACCTTTCTGTGATTTAATTACCCGGAAATAAATCGCCGCAGAAAAATGAGATAATTGACGTTAAAAAAAACTCGGAAAGTTATTGAAGTGAAGATTTTTCCAATAATTAAAAAATTAATTTATCTTCAATCATTTTAAATCTGATTAAATAATTTTCAGAATTTTATTCTTGTTTTTCCATTAATAAAATCGAAAATAATTGAATTTTATGAAAATGTTGATGTTAATGGATTATTGGAAAACTGTTAAGCTTAATGAGTAAATAATAGAATAATGTTTTGTGATTAAGTAGAAAAAAAAGGCATTGCTATTAGTGTAGAGGGCAATTTATCCGGATAATGCATAGTTATAAAGGCTTATCATTATATAGTGGACGTAATAAATAGCTAAAGTGTATTTATGCGAGGTAATATACCTTAAAGCTGCGCTGAATACGCCAGAGACAAAAAGTCCCGGTAATCCTGGAATTGACTGGGCTATTTCCATCACATAAAATGGCAGCAACTGGTCTGCTTTATTAATTTGCTGAAAACGCAAAGTAAATAGTTAATCAATTTTCTCTAATTTCCAAAGATCAGAATTTTATTTACAAAAATAAAAAAAGTAGCTTAATGCTAGTGAGGGAGATTAGATAAAAAATCAATAAAATTCAATTGAAATTCAATGCTATGGAAATGAATAGCGTGAATTGAATGCTGACGATGGAAAAAAATATCAATCGCTTCCAATCAAAAGTTACATGGATTAAAAAAGTCCTCTTTATTATTTTTTAGTTTTATATTTTTTTAATTAAATTTAACTACTTACTTTGGTGACAACCGGGTCACAGTCGTAGAAAGCCGCGTAAATAAGGATCCCCGTGTAACAGCTCAATGAGACAATAGTTATTATTCCGACGGCCATAATCATAATGGTGCTGAAGAGATTAAAAAATTAATATTGTACTATTTTATTCTATGAGGCTTTAATGAATAGTTAGTGGTAAAGTTTGCTACTAAAAGAAAAGTTTTTAATATAAAAGAACTGACATATTGGATTTCTTCAAAGTTGGCATCGCGAGACAACGTTGAACCATAGCCTGGTTGACTGAGCAAGTGGCGAGCCAGTTCAAGTAGTTTCCAACAACTACAGTCCAAAAAGTATGTCTCACTGTCGGGTTTGGGTCCATACTGGAATTAAATTTCAATTTATTATTATTATCTATATTATTAAGAGAATAAGAAAATGTCATTGCAAAGGTCTTGACTTGAATTTGTGCCTTTTCAAGGTTTCATATCATTCTTATAGTCAATTTATATAATGATAAGTTGATAAGTATTTAGGCAGCATTCAAAAATGCTCTATCTCTAGATACATAATTAAGAAATGATCTTTTATCTTGTGAAATATTGACATTTTTGAAGATATAAGCTCATCCCGGCATTACACTCATCGAGACCTTTCATTTGAGTATCCACATCAATTTTTCATATATTTTATATATTTATATATTTCACAAATACCATATATATAAAATATATAAAAAATGCCATATGGGTACTTAAATGAAAGGTCTCGATGAGTGTAACATCGAAATGAGTTTATATCTTAAAAAATGTCAATAATTAAGAAATGACCTTGTATTTCGTGAAATATTCACATTTTTAATGATATAAGCTCATCCCGATATTATACTCATCGAGACCTTTCATTTGAGTACCCACATCAATTTTTCATATATTTATATATATTATATATATGTATATATGAAAAATATATAAGAATGCATGTGGGTACTCTAATGAAAGCTCTTGATGAGTGTAACATCGGGATGAGCTTATATCTTTAAAAATGTCAATAGTTAAGAAAGTACAGTGCAATTTAACAAACCGCATAAAAAAATTTTAGTTTTTCTAAAAGAAAAGTAGTTAAAAAAAAAAAGAAAAACTTCGGAACAATAATTATCAATACGTATCGACAGCCGTAAGCTCTCGATAAAATCCTTGAGCAACGTCTTACTCATTTAGCCGTCTTAAATTGTTTGGGATGTGAAGCAAATAAAAGCAAAACTAAAACTAAAACTAAAAGTACGGTATCGGTATTTCAGACACCGAGACAGTAACGTCCCATTAAATTAAAAAATTTCTTCTTATTCTAACAAACAGCTAACGGAAATAAATGTGTCTCAACAAAAATCGATAATTACTTAAAGAACTCGATTCTTCCGGTAATGAAGTTTCTCCTCCAAACTTCTGCGAACCCGCCAACTCTTATTGTCCCAAGAACAGCGACGATAATAACTCCGCCAAACATAACAACTGTTTGAATAGTGTCCGTCCAAACGACAGCCTTCAATCCACCCTGAAGAAATAAAATAATGTAAATATATATTGGCGCAAACGATAAATTGTAAATTTTAAATTGTAAACATATATATGTCGAGATTAATGATGAATGTGCCGTTAGTTAATGAATTGACTGGTTACTTCCGTGGATCTCGTAGTAATATATCTACATATAGACGATAATAATCTATAAATACAAAATGTATATTAAAGTTTATAGTATAAATTGAAATAACTCACCAGTGTGGTGTAAAAGATGCAAACAGCGCAGACAAGTGGCGCGACTACGTGAACATTTATTCCAGTGACTTGATTGAACGCTAGCGCCGGGACGTAGATCACTAGCGGTATGTAAAGCAGCTGTAATTGCAAATCCCAATTATTTTCGAATCAACGCACTTATTCAATGTCAGATGGTATCAAGAATGAGAGAGAAGAACTGAGAGAAGTCTGTTTGTTTCAATGATTGTTTTACTCTCACGCATTCTTTTAATTTATCTCTACTTCAGTCAATTACTCAGGATGATCCTATCCGCGTACGACAATGATCTTGACGGACGGTGGATCGAGGCTAGTGATTTTGTACGTTGACCTCATTTTTACACGGATGCGAGGGCTGTTATGAAGATGAATGTGACATTTGAATTTGACATTTTAAACCCTTTAATTTTAATCGCTCGTATTTTTTCGAAACTTTATTTTATGTGCTTTAGTTTTTGTTGAAAAATAGTTTTTAACATTTATTTTCTCACCATTTTTATTATGAATATTATCGAACCCAGTAGACGGACGTAGTTGTTGAATCGCAGTTCCAGGTACTGAAAATTTTTTTATTAGTACTACCTATTAATTTTTTTGAAGAAATTCAAGTTAAATTTTGAGAAAACCTCATAAGACGATGTGATTTGCAGACCGTAGAAAACTGGTAAGTAGATAATCGCCATTGTCAGGGAAACAAACGCGTCTGCGATTATCACCGACCAGTATTGTGTTCCGTAGACGTACATTTCTGCTGGTAGACCTAGTAGAGCGATTCCTGATATGTAACTACAATTTTAAAATATTAAGCATTATATTTATAGAACTCTGATATATTTACAAATTCATAAAACATTTAAATTTTAATTTAAGAATTTTTAAAATCCAAAAATCCGGTAATTATTTACAAGTAGGGTCAAGTAGGGTACAAGTAGGGTCAAACCTATTTTTGGCCATATCGAGATGAAAAATTAACATTTAAAAATTGCTTTTTTTTATTCTGCTTGTTTTTACGGCGGATTTATGATAACAAATATCATGAAAAGAAAAAATGAAGATTTCGATAGCTATTTTTGCCTGTAAAAGTTGGAAAAATTTTAGCTCTTATGTTTATGGATCAAATTTCTATTTTATCTTTTTTTGATATATTTTTTTTTTGAAAAGTACATAAAATAACGAACAATTAAAAAAAAATTTGAATATCATAATTGAAAACTTGTAAGAAAAAATATCAATAAAATTAAATAAAAATTTAGTTCAAAAAAAAAAAAATTAAAATGGTTTACCCCATTTATAAATATTTACCAAAAATCCTAATGAAATTAGTAAATATTTTAATTTTTCGATTAAAATTTTTTAAATAATTACCAAAAGCGTAAAATTCAGCTTAAAAAATAAAATTATACCCCAAAAGAACAACTATATCCCTGGAATCAATAAAAAATATTTACCTAGCGATTAAAGACATACTGATAGGGAAAATAGACATTTTTTGGCCGCCTATCAAGTACTCTCTCACAGCGTCAGGATTGCTACGTGCTTTGTAAGCATGATAAACACCAACAAACGCAGACACTCCTAACATGAGTGCAAAAACAACACAATCTATTAAATCAAACGTCCGTTTTTCATCCATTGTTAAGGTGGAAAAAACCGAATCACTTATTTATTTCTCGCTTCAAGCGATTATATCGGTATATATAGTTTGAGATTGTGTTGCGATTAGATTGACAACTGACAAGCACTCTTATTACTCAATGTAGACATCTCGAGCAACTAAACGAAACGGCTACACTACACTGGTCACGAACCGGGTCGAGCAGATTATGCTACTTGTGTGCCGGTGCACAGATCCACCGCAACAGATTATTGAATAATTGCCCATACGAGTCTCTTTCTTCTCCTCTCTTTCATTCCACATCCAATGTTAAAAGTATTCACTGGCATACGTTGTGAATTTATTAATTATAACTTATCATTACAAGACATCTAAATAATTGTCAGTGAATTAACAATCCGCAATTGTCAATCGGCAGCTTCAAAATGCCTCAGATGAAGCAATTATTAAATTATTTATTATTTAATATTCCTGCAAAAGCATTCTCTGGTTTAGTGCGTGGTTGTAAAAATGTCTCTTGGCATGATTGTGCTTATGCAAGTTAATGAAATCAAACAAATTGGAAATTCTGATGCGCCAGGCACAATAGCAAGAAGTGGAAGCGAGAGTAAACTAATAGCGATGCAAGTACATTCACCATTTAGAGACACCGAACGTTGCTGGGTGGCCTAATCGGATTCCATCGCGTTCTACGAGGCAAATACACACGATAGCCACTGCTACACTCACCACACTGACACCAACTTCCAAGCAAACAATAACACCCCATTCCCGATAACGAACGACCACACTGGAGAAATGCATCGTCGGCGATACACATGATAATAGTGATTGAACATGCCATCACTCGATTAATTGTTTAATATTCCGGACTCTCCATTATTTTCAATTACTCATTATTGTAATTGTCTTTAAGTTTTACTTCGCTGTATGTAATAGCAATTTTGTTAAAAAAGTTCAAACCTTAGAGGAAATTTTCTAACATTAGCCTTTGGTAATTTTTTGGATTTTTAATTTTTATAATTAATACTAGCAACCTTGCAGTCACTCTGTGACTGTCGAGACTTGTGAACTATAAATATATAAATTTTGCTTTATTAAATAATGATTTCTGTTAAATTGCACTGTACTTTTTTAACTATTGACGTTTTTAAAGATATAAGCTCATCCCGATGTTACATTCATCAAGAACTTTCATTTGAGTACCCACATGCATTTTGATATATTTATCATATATACATATATACATATAATATATAAAATATATGAAAAATTGATGTGGGTACTCAAATGAAAGCTCTTGATGAGTATAACATCGGGATGAGCTTATATCTTTAAAAATGTCAATAGTTCATAAGATATTTGTTAAAATGGCCAGTACTTTCTTAACTATTGACTTTTTTAAAGATATAAGCTCATTCTGATGTTATACTCATCAAGAGCTTTCATTTGAGTACCCACATGCATTTTGATATATTTTTCATATATACATATATATAATATATATAAATATATGAAAAAATTGATGTGGGTACTCAAATAAAAGGTCTTGATGAGTGTAACATCGGGATGAGCTTATATCTTTAAAAATGTCAATAGTTCACAAGATACAAGGTCATTTCTTAATTATGTATCTAGAGATAGAGCATTTTTGAATGCAGCCTAAATACTTAACATCATAAATTGACTATTGCTTATTCTTTTAATAATATAGATTAATAAAAATTTAAGAAAATAAATGGATTTTTAATCTTTAAGAATATTAAGTAAATTGTTAGATATTTATTGACAATACTAAAAATTAAATTAATGAACGAGAAATAAATGGTCGATGCATGAAAATATTTTAACCCCTTATTGAGAAATAAAAACAATTTCCGGAGATTATTTTAATTTAAATTAAATTTAATGATTTTTATTCGAAATGTTGCATCGGTTTTCTCTTTATTTTTCACTGAGTTGCTTCAGTACGTAACGCATGAATGACTCAAACGAATATCAACTAGATCGCTGATTGGAGTAAAAAAACTGTTGTAGAACGACTGGCTTGAAAAAAATACATTGAAATAAAATAATTGAAAAAAAAAAAAAAAAAAAAAAAAAAAAAAAAAACATGTGTAGGAAGAATAAACACCTGATTTGACGTGTCTCGCGTTTTGCTTTTCATTTCAGTAAATAAAAAAAAGTATAAAATAAAATAGAATAAAATTATTTTTATGTAAAAATTTATAATTCAATATTTACACCCATCTGCTATTCGGTGCTCTTTTAGTGAATTATTTATGAGATAAATAAATGCATTAAATACTGAAATAATATATAGAGAGCAGCATTTGCCACTTTTCACAACTATAATCTCGCTCGTTCGAAATACAAAGCCGGTTTAAAGTTCCTTCCGAAGTAAGTCTAGATGAAATACGAAGAGTAAAATAAAATAGAATAAAGTAAAAAAAAAAAAACAATAAAATAAAAGTAAGTTGAGAAAAAAAAATGTACATACAAGTTGAAGTAGATAGGATAGAAGAGGAATGTATAACAAACGAAAATGCAAAGTATATATCTTAACAACGACTAAACTTTCTTGCCTTCTGTCTTCTCATTCAACACTCAAGGCTGTTGCGGACAGAATATACTCCGCAATCTTGGGTCAAATATAAAGCCCGCTCCAGTGTAAGGCCAAAACCACGCGGATTTCATCCTCTGCTCAGAAATACGCTTCCAAAAGTTTTGCATAAAAAATGAGACAAAAATGTAAATAAAAGTAGGCTGATTAAAATCCTCATCTTTGACTCTTTGTCATTAAAATAACGCGCATGATAAATTAACAAGAAACTTTTTTTAATCAAATTTTTTACACCGTGAAGGGAAAATATGTTAAACAGCTGAACCTGCCGGATATCTCTGAAACATTTCCCTAGATTATCTGTAGAAATTTGATGAAAACTTGACTTCTTAAAATTAATAGCTTTACAAGTTTTATATTTAAAAATTATTCATTTTTGAACAAGTCGTAAAAAAAATAAAAATTAAAGATACAAATATTTGCATATTAAATTTTAATTTAATTTACTAATGGTATGTACTAAACAGACCATAAACTTCTCTGATAACAAAATTATTTGTGTAAATGTTTTAGCAGAGAAAATAAAAGACCAGTTTATTAAATTATCGGAAAATTAAGTGGTCTGACGAAAGAGGTTTTATACTACTTAAAGCGACTCTGATTATATATCAATACATACAACCATCTTCTATATAGTATGTACTTCCGTTTACACGCATGGATACCCTGAAAAATTGAATTTTAAATTTTTTAGCCCGAGCAATAATTTTTTGTGGTTCATCATATGTCATGAACTTTGACTCTTGGAATAAAATAGCCTATTTGTGAATTTTTTTCATCTTTCTGTGCTGAGACATTCGGAAAAGTAAATATCGAGCATAAATAAAATAAAGGACACATTTTTCTTTTTATTACATACCCGGACGGAGATGGATCTCGAGTATTGCGTTTGGGAAAAAAATTTTCCCAGACAAAATTTAATTTCGCAAACTTATTTTTTGTCACAGAACATAAAAAAAGTTTCCCGTGCAATGTCGATTCTTGGGTTATTCTATTTTTTTTTCATTTTACGGCTTATCGTGCTTTATTTTCTCAGATTTTTCGATCTTATATTTACGTAAATTTTTCTCGGTATATATTATTATCAAAGTCTCGGGGGAAATATAATTTCCAGTTGAGTGCATTTCCCTGTGTTGCTTAATAGACCGGCTTGAAGACGAGGCTGAAAACTAACTATTGTAAACAAATAAAAAAATATATAATACTTATGTGTAGTTAATGGAAATTCCAAATATTTATTTCTGAGAGTACATATTATTAAAAAAAAAAATAAAAAAAAAATAAGTAGAGGATAGAAATAAAATATTAAAAAGCATAAAACGCTGGCGGGTTCAGAAAATTCGTAGCTCTCCAAGTAAAGAGTTCATATACATTGTACAAAGAAGAAATATCGAAATATTACGTGTTCCATTGTTCAATATATGTATCTAGCTTACGGCAGTTCTGTATGACTTGTCAGCAATTCTGTGACATCGATTCATTCATAATCCACAACGAGAACGCACTGTGCACTGTTAACCTTTTTTACCATTTTTCATAATCGTAAAGCGAGTATATGTCGCATCGTTTTTTAATTTTCAATATTTCAGCCCTCGAGATTTATAAACTATTGAATATTTTACATCCTATGAATATCGAATTTTTGTAATAGTTTTAAATATTTTGAATTTATTATTTTCCAAAATTTATTCAAATTTCTTTATCTAATAAATTGCAGTGCTCTCGTCGGTCATGCGAAAAATTGATTTCAGTTTTTTAAGCCCGTTGCTTTTATGACAATTTTTATTTTACAGAAAAATTCAATTCTCGAATAGAGAATAAAATTTTATTAACTCCAAAAAATAATTATTTTTTATTGATCTAAAATTCTATTTAACCGTAACTATAAAAATAAATTTGAATCTAATAAACTCTCACAAAAATTAGATTATTGAGATCGAAAAGACTAATATGAAGAAAAGTTCCCGAGAGTTAATGAAATTTTTATAAGGTTTATTAACTTAAATCTCCCAGAGTGTCAAATTAATTTTAGTTAAAATTTTTTATCCTGTAAAAAAGTTAAACCCCTTTTTTATCCCCTCTTTTCGATTATTTTTGAAGCTAATTTGAATAATTGACATTATACGGATGATGGATGCCTTTCCCAAGGTGCGGTGACATTGTATAATCACTTGTTACTTCCCCCTATCTTCCTTAGACTCATCCTCACATTATAGTAAGTATACAACAATTATTATTATTGCTATCGTCTAGCAACAGCTGAAGGGCCTCGCCCTGAAGCGAAAGACTTCTGACATGAGACAAGCGACATCACCGAGTTATTGATATCTTTCAATTTTTAGGATATCAAGGGTGACTTCAAGTAGCTGTTTTTTAACTTCCCGAAATTAAAATC